CAGCCTCAGTGTACCTGACCCTCAGCCTCAGTGTATCTGATCCTCAGCCTCAGTGTATCTGACCTGCAGCCTCAGTGTATCTGATTCTCAGCCTCAGCACAGTGTATCTGATGACACTTTGACCTGTCTTTCCCAAATGATGTAAATGCTCCTACTGTTATTTTCTGCTGCAGTAAAATAGCTCTTCCTTTATTCACATAAAGGGATAAGTTACATGAACTCCTTATATTTATTATTTAAAGCATGACGAACCATTATGCTGATTTCGTTTTTAATGTTTATTTGGCTTTGGAATTAGTCTTGTTCCCCAGGAAATCATTTCCTGGCTTCTAAGTTGACAGCTCTCTGTTATTAGTTGTGCCTGACAAGTTTGGTACAACCAGGCTACCAGAGGCAGTTAGTGCAGATGATGATGTTAAAAATCTCTTTATAGGCTGAGTATGGTGGCTCACACCTGTAATCCCAGCAGTTTGGGAGGCCAAGGTGGGATTGCTAGAGTCCAGAAGTTCGAGACCAGCCTGGGCAACATGGTCTCTACAAAAAAAAAAAAAAAAAAAATTAGCTGGCATGGTGGTGTGCATCTGTGGTCCCATCTACTTCGGAGGCTGAGATGGGAGGATCACTTGAGCCCAGGAGGTCAAGGCTGCAGTGAGCTCTGATTGTACCACTGCACTCCAGCCTGGATAACAGAGTAAGACCCTGTCTCAAAAAAAAAATGAAAAGGTGTTTATAGTCAAGTTATTTTTCATAACCCAACCTACCCCCCAAATTAGGGTGAATACCCAGAGAACATCTAAAGAAAGGAGTATGCAATGGGGCAGGGCGCGGTGGCTCACGCCTGTAATCCCAGCACTTTGGGAGGCCGAGGCGGGTGGATCACGAGGTCAGGAGATCGAGACCATCCTGGCTAACACTGTGAAACTCCATCTCTACTAAAAAAAAAAAAAAATACAAAAAATTAGCCGGTCATGGTGGTGGGTGCCTGTAGTCTCAGCTACTCGGGAGACTGAGGCAGAATGGCATGAACCTGGAAGGCAGAGTGTGCAGTGCCAAGATTGCACCACTGTACTCCAACCTGGGAGACAGCGAGACTCCACTTCAAAAAAAAAAAAAAAAAAAAAGGAGTATGCAGTCAATGGAACTGTCACCCAGGGCCATTTCCATTTGCCAAGTACAAGATATCGAATCAATGTATTTTTGTGGCTGGGCACAGTGGCTCACACCTGTAATCCCAGCACTTTGGGAGGCTGAGGCTGGCGGATCATTTGAGACCAGGAGTTCGAGACCAGCCTGGCCAACAAGGAAAAACCCCATCTCTGCTAAAAACACAAGAATAGCCAGGCATGATGACATGCACCTGTAGTCCTAGCTACTTGGGAGGCTGAGGCAGGAGAACCACTTGAATCCAGGAGGTGGAAGGTGCAGTGAGCCGAGATCATGCCGCTGGACTCCAGCCTGGGCAACAGAGTAAGACTTGGTCTCAAAAAAAAAAAAAAAAAAGTATTTTTGTGATCTGTTCTTTCATTTGGATTTAGGTGAGCGACCTGTGAGAGTTTATGCTGATGGAATATTTGACTTATTTCACTCTGGTCATGCCCGAGCTCTGATGCAAGCAAAGAACCTTTTCCCTAATACGTACCTCATTGTGGGAGGTAAGAAAACATTTGATGGCTTCAGGTGCAGTGGAGAAAAAGATGATAGTAGAGTCTGTATTTCTCTTCTGTCTTTATAACCTGAGTACACTGGCTCTTGTTTCTGTTTTTAAGTGAAGGATGTAGTACAGCCTCTCTAAAACATGAAATATATGAGGTACCAGCAACCTAAACCTGGAGAGAGGAGCTTCAAGCTCATTGACTGTGACATCTGACATTTATCCCACTGTTTTTAGCCAAGTTTCTGCCAGTCACAGGAGCAACAATGACTTCTGTTGCCCAGTTAAAAAACATTTGCTTTAGATTTCACTTTATTATTTTGAACCAACTGGAATACAAAAGTCTGCCAAGGAAATGTCATGTGGTCCAGTCCAGTGTGAATAAAATAGGAAAACATGGTTGAGGACTTAATTGATACAGACATGCACAGCAGGTTGATTTCAGAGTCGAAGATCTTGGTCACCTGTTGTACCGTCTCTTCTCCAAAGTATGAACATACTATTTAGTGAGTGTTGCTCCTGAAGGTATACGCTGCATTAGGAAAAGCGTTGTTACCCAGGTTCAACTGCCTTTAGAAGACTTTTCTCCAGTTGGGGAAGATGGTTGCAGTCCTAAGCAGTGGGAGAAGATGGGAGAGGTCGGTGGCTGAGGAGTGGCTAAGCAAAGAGGACTCCGACCCACAGTTTATGATGTGGTGAACTCAGTTTGCAGCGATGAGCTCACACACAACTTCAAAGGCTTCACGGTGATGAATGAGAACGAGCGCTATGACGCAGTCCAGCACTGCCGGTACGTGGATGAGGTAGTGAGGAATGCGCCCTGGACCCTGACACCTGAGTTCCTGGCCGAACACCGGGTAAGAAACTGGACACATATTCCCATTCCTTGTTCCAGAATCCCCTCAACTCTCACGACTGCTGGCACGCAGGCTGGTTTTCCACTAGTTCTGTTTTACTTCTACCTCCTATGTAAGTTTCATAGGAGATGACAGTGATATTACTAGTGATAATAGTCATTCCTGACGTTTATATGGGGTTAGGTGGTTTGCAAGCACTTTTACATCCATTCTATTCCATTTTCTCCCCACAACAGTCCTGTGGTGTGGTTATCATTTCCACTTTACATATGAGTAACAAGTCCTAGAGAAACCAAATAACCTCCAAGTTACACCATTGGCAGTGCTGGGAATTGAACTTGTCAGTTACGAGACATTTCCCCCCACACCACAGGCATGTCTACCCTTAGAACGTGCCAGTCTCCTGAGAATATCCATAGCTCCAGGCGAACTCTGAAGAGGGTCATATTACCAGGAAACAAGACGGATTAACATAGACTTTTCTTGGCTTAAGTTTCATTTCAGGGCTTTGGTCTTAGGCTAGAAATTGGGTGGAATCAGAAACCAAGGATATTTCTCACTGTTTCTCAGTAAGTTGTTATCAACCCCTTACCTCCTTTTAATTCTCCCACATTAAAGTAACAGATTTCAGCCAGGTGCAGTGGCTCATGCCTGTAATCCCAGCACTTTGGGAGACCAAGGTGGGAGGATCGCTTGAGCCCAGGAGTTCAAGACCAGCCTGGGCAACATACCGAGACCCTGTCTCTACTTTTAAAAAAAAGCCACAGGTTTCCTGCAAGAGGTGGGTATAAAAGATGAGAAGGATTGATTAGGCCAGGTTAGAGGTCCCCACGCCTGAGGAAACAGCAAGCATGTTGTCAGTTCTCTACAGGGGTGCGTGGAATGTTGTAGGTAAATTGTTCAGTGAGGCAGAAAGAATAAAGGCAGCCAAAGGGCTTCTAAAGCAATACATGGGTAGGCCTGAAGAGGGGATATTTACTGTAACTATTGAGGATTGGGACAGATCTTCTGTAATTCTCTGACTTTTCTACATCAACACTTAGCAGCCAGTGGCTCCAAAGTGGTAAGCAAGCTTATTCTCAGCATCACAGCCCACAGGCCCACACAGAAGTATGAGGTTAGAGGAATTTCTTTTTTTTTTTTTTTTTCTGAGACGGAGTCTCACTCTGTTGCCCAGGCTGGAGTGCCATGGCATGATCTCGGCTCACTGCAAGCTCTACCTCCCGGGTTCATGCCATTCTCCTGCCTCAGCCTCCCGAGTAGTTGGGACTACAGGCGCCCGCCACCACGCCTGGCTAAGCTTTTGTATTTTTAGTAGAGACGGGGTTTCACTGTGGTCTCGATCTCCTGACCTTGTGCTGGGCCTCCCAAAGTGCTGGGATTACAGGCGTGAGCCACCACACCCGGCTGGTTAGAGGAATTTCTAACTCTGCTTTTCTCTTTGTTAACAGCATATACTCAACTGTGAGTTTTGCTTGTCCCATTCTTTTTTTTTTTTTGAGACGGAGTCTCGCTCTGTTGCCCAGGCTGCAGTGCAGTGGCGCGATCTCGACTCACTGCAACCTCCACCTCCCAGTTTCAAGCGATTCTCTTGCTTCAGCCTCCCGAGTAGCTGGGATTACAGGCGCCGCCACCACGCCCGGCTAATTTTTTTGTATTTTTAGTAGAGATAGGGTTTCACCATGTTAGCCAGGATGGTCTTGATCTCCAGTCCTCGTGATCCGCCTGCCTCAGACCCCCAAAGTGCTGGAATTACAGGCGTGAGCCACCGTGCCTGGCCTTCGGCCTCCTGTTCTTTACTTTGCTGCCTATGGATCCCTGACAAGTTGTTCATGAGTAATTGAGATGCTAGCTGAGGGTCTCTGACATAGTCCCAGTGAACATGCTTCACACTACAGTGGTCTCTGGAGGTTGGTATAGTGATCTTAGTAATTATCAGCAAAAGGCTGGTGGCCCATTCGGGAAGGACTAAGTGAAGTTTAGCATGTGTCTGAACAACATTATTGATCTCCAGTGTCATTCGTCTCTTCTTGCTCTTGCAAAGGATATTCATAGTAGTAAAATGGCCGGGCGCAGTGGCTCATACCTGTAATCCCAGCACTTTGGGAGGCCGAGTCAGGTAGATCACTTGAGGTCAGGAGTTCGTGACCAGCCTGACCAACATGGTGAAACCCCGTCTTTACTAAAAATACAAAGATTATCCAGGCGTGGTGACATGCACCTGTAATCCCAGCTACTCGGAAGGCTGAGGCAGGAGAATCGCTTGAATTCAGGAGGCAGAGGTTGCAGTGAGCCGAGATCGTGCCATTGCACTCCAGCCTGGGTGACAGAGCAATACTCGGTCCCAAAAAAAAAAAAAAAAAAAAGTAGTAAAATGATAGATGATAGATCCTGAGGATAAAATATCTTTTATGACTTTGGGCTTGTATTTCTCAGGAATATAGATGTATCTATTCCAGTCATAGGGCTGGTGGTTGCTATTTTTATATTCCCTCTTCTCACGGACTGAGAGAAACCAGTTAGGAAAGAAGTAACCTCTTTCTCATACTTTTTTTTTTTTTTTTTTTTTTTTTTGGAGACAGTCTTGCTCTGTCACTCTGTCACCCAGGCTGGAGTGCAATGGTGTGGTCTCAGCTCACTGTAGCCTCCACCTCCCGGGTTCAAGCAATTCTGCTTCAGCCTCCCAAGTAGCTGGGATTACAGTCGCCGGTCCCCATGCCTGGCTTATTTTTTTGTATTTTTAGTAGAGACGGGGTTTCACTGTGTTAGCCAGGATGGTCTTAAACTCCTGACCTCATGATCTGCCTGCCTCGGCCTCCCAAAGTGCTGGGATTACAGGCGTGAGCCACCACGCCCGGCCTTTCTCATACTTTTAGAAACCCTTATTTGACCAAATCCTTCCAGACCCAGGACAGGAAGATTCCTTCTTTCCTAGGCTCCACCCACTAACTGGTTCACCAGCAAACCCTCTGGCCCTATTGACCACAGCAAGATGACTGGTATACAGAGTGAGGGTAACAGTTCTAGTAGACTAGGAGAAATAGCTAGAAAAGCAGCTGGCTAACTTTCTATTTGTACTCCATAAATCATTAGGTTGGGTGGTTTGTGAATAGATTGTAGCCTGGCCTCTGCTTATTGTCCTTTTTCTGGGCCTGAGAACATTGACTGGGTCTTTCTGAATGGCAGTTATCGTGGGTTTTAATGATGTTTCCTTATTTTCAGATTGATTTTGTAGCCCATGATGATATCCCTTATTCATCTGCTGGAAGTGATGATGTTTATAAGCACATCAAGGAGGCAGGTGAGTGAGCTGATGTGCTTCCTCACTTTAGGGGATCTCAGAGCAGCTGCAGATGTTCAGCCATGTTGCTACTTTACAGAGGAAAATGTATACATTAGAAATTCAACATCCTCTTTCAGGCCACATTTTGGATAAAAGGTGAAGATGAGCGTAGCATCCATCAGTTCTTCATCATCAGTTCATGACATCCATCAGTTCTTGGTCTAAACATCTACTTTTGATATCTCTCTTAATTTCAGGAAACGCTTTCTCATATTTTTCGTAATATTAGGGCTATGTAACTCTTCTTTGCCTTACCTCTGGACTTTCATTCAGTCTTCCTTCTGTATATCAGTATCTCTCCGTTTCAATTAGTAATAACAGATTCTGCTTTTTGAGGAAAGGAAGGGAACATTGCCCCTAGTTTCCATTTAGTCTTAATACCTGAGCTGACCAGAACCTCACAGTGTTTGTCTGTCTGTGTTTCTGAGTCAGGCATGTTTGCTCCAACACAGAGGACAGAAGGCATCTCCACGTCAGACATCATCACCCGGATCGTGCGGGACTACGACGTGTATGCGAGGCGGAACCTGCAGCGGGGCTACACGGCAAAGGAGCTCAATGTCAGCTTCATCAACGTGAGTTCCAGCCGCACCCCAGACTCCCTGACTGTGGATACGCATTGCCTCTCACTCCATCTTAGCTGAACTGGCTTTGCAGTTAGCTCTGATGATCACTCCCAAAAGTTCAGTGAATGAATTACCACTATGTTAACTGTTTACAAAAAGAATGAAACAGACAGTTTCTGCCGTTACGGTCTAGGACCAACACATTGGTATAAAGCCATACAGCCAACAAAATAAATAAGAAAGAGTAATTTAGATAGTACAGTATTTCTGTTAATAAATTGAAAACTGTGTCTCTTAAACTTCCTTTTTCTTTTTTGGTTGGATGATCTTTTGGGAACCTGCTAAAGCCTATGAACCCTCTCCCCGTGTGGACAGTGACACGACACACCACTTCCCCGCATAGACCTGAGTTTTAAATTTTGATTGATGAAAGCTTAAGTTTATCTTAGTTTACTATTGCCTTTTAGAAACTCTGTATATTTTACTGGGCTTGGTGGTTCATGCCTGTAATCCCAGTACTTTGGTAGGCTGAGGTGGGAGGACTGCTTGAGGCCAGGGGTTTGAGACCAGTCTGGAGGCAGCATAGCGAGACCCCATCTCTAAACAAACAAACAAAAAAACTCATATATATATGTATGTAGTATATGTATGTTTGTAGTGTGTGTATATATATGTGTAGTGTGTGTATATATATATGTAGTGTATATATATGTATGTAGTATATATTCATTCTTTTTGTAAACAGTTATACATATACTGCAGTATATATATACACACACACACACTACATATATATATACACACACACACACTACATATATATATATACACACACACTACATATATATGTAGTATTTCTTTCTTTTTGAGACAGGGTCTTGCTCTGTTGCCCAGGCTGGAGTGCAGTGGCGTGATCTCGGCTCACTGTGGCCTCTGTCTCCTGGGTTCAAGTGATTCTGGTGCCTTAGCCTCCTGAATAGCAGTGATTACAGGCTTGTGCCACCACACCTGGCTAATTTTTGTATTTTTTTTAGCAGAGATGGGGTTTCGCCATGTTTCCCAGGCTGGTCTTGAACTCCTGACCTCAAGCGATCGGCCCCCCCCTTGGCCTCCCAAAGTGCTGGGATTACAGGCATGAGCTACCGTATCTATCCAACACTACACATTTTGTACGTAAATTAGACCTCAATAAAATTAATTTAAAAAGAAGAAAGCTGCTAACTTCAATGTCTCCTACACAGTCAGTTTACCATGCTCCCCCACCTGCTCCCATCTCTGTGAATTGTGCTATAAGAATGGATAAAATGATTACATCTAAATATGATTTATCTAGGCAGACAAACACTAGCTCTTGTTAATTTATTTACTATAGCTTTATTTTTTCCCATAAAAATCAGGTGTTTAAAAATTCTAAACATATTCCCTTTCCTCTTTATGATCCGGAAATTATGAGAGTACTTTTTTTTTTTTTTTTTTGCGATAGAGTAACACTCAGTCACCCAGGCCAGAGTACAGTGGCGCAATCTTGGCTTACTGCAGCCTTGACCTCCGGGCTCAAGTGATCCTCCCATCTCAGCCTCCTGAGTAGCTGGGACTATGGGCATAGGCCACCATACCCAGCTAATTTTTTATATTTTTATTTTTAGTAGAGATGAGGTCTTGCTATGTTGTCTAGGCTGCTTTCGAGTTCCTGGCCTCAAGCAGTCCTCCCACCTCGGCTTCCCAAAGTGCTGGTATTACAGGCATGAGCCACTGTGCCTGGCCAAGGATACTTTTCATTTGACTAAAGACTCCCCTCCTCTCTGCCACAGGGTTTATACCGTTTTCCTTTTCTTTAGCAAAGTCGGTAGGGCCAACGAGTGTCAGCATTTCACAGATGGGTAAACGGACCTTAAAACACGAAAGGAGCAAAAGCAAAAACACAGCTCATTAACATAATAGAGTCAGCCAGCGACGGGAAGCGCAGTTCGATGAGCGGATGAAGCGGAAGATCAGTGTTTTCTCTCTCGATCCATCGTGATTCGTTATTCTTGGCAGTGCTGTGCAGGGATCTTTTAGCTGCCTCTGTATCTCCCTCGATCCATCGTGATTCGTTATTCTCGGCAGTGCTGTGCAGGGGTCTTTAGCTGCCTGTGTATCTCCCTCTGGAATGAGGTTTGGGTCATGCTGGGCATGTTTATGTTCCAAGTTTATGTTTTATCTTTAAAACTCTGACTTTATTTGGCTACCTGCCTGTGACTGAGTATAGCCTATATTTTTAGTTTATTCCCAAATGCCCACAATATTAGCATTACTATTTTGTGTGTGCATCCACAGCATATCTTATCTGTTATTATGCTAATGACGTGTGGGGTAGATTAAAGCAAAGCAGAATTCTAGACTGAAAACAGTGTCAGTTGAGTGCTTGAGCCATGTTTTTTTGTTCTCTTATGGTAGAGAAGTTTGGCATGAGCATTATTTCTCAAAATAGTGATTTCTTTATCTAGGAGAAGAAATACCACTTGCAGGAGAGGGTTGACAAAGTAAAGAAGAAAGTGAAAGACGTGGAGGAAAAGTCCAAAGAATTTGTTCAGAAGGTGGAGGAGAAAAGCATTGACCTCATTCAGAAGTGGGAGGAGAAGTCCCGAGAATTCATTGGAAGTTTTCTGGAAATGTTTGGTCCGGAAGGAGCACTGGTACGTTCTTCCCCACTGGACAGTGTAGGGAGATCCCATGTTGTGGAAAGAATTACAGAACCATCGAGCAGAAAGGGACGTCGACAGTTAAGGAGTGATCTAGTCTAGTCCCCTTATCTGGGCAGAACTATCTTTCAACGGTCCCCAGCAAGGTTTTTGAAGCCTTTACAGAAAGAGGTTACACATTCTCCTAGATAATTTTGCCAGCTCTCTATCAACCTTGAAATCTGGTGACAAGATAAGCAAAACGCCTTGCCCAGCTTTTATTTGTGGTATGATTTTAGATAGAAGGAAAGGAAAGAATAAAGAATAATAAAAAGAAAGCAGCCTCCACCCCAAGTAGCTGCAGCGTGAACCCCAGGTAAGGGGAATTCTGTCTTTGAGGAGTGGCAGTCTTTTCAACCAGATAAAAGATTGAGCAAGTGAGTCCTAGGTTAGATATCAGGAAGGACTGTCTGTGAAGGTGTTTGGAAAGATAAGAATAATCCTAGAACAGATTATTTGGGAAGAATGGGGAATTTCCCGGGTAATGATAGCAGGTGAGAACCCTTAAATCAATAGTACAGCATAGACTGCCCTAGTCCCAGATGCTTCAGCGATGATTCAGTAGGATCCACCGTATTGTTTCTAACTCTTCCTTTCGGTTTCTCCAGAAACACATGCTGAAAGAGGGGAAGGGCCGGATGCTGCAGGCCATCAGTCCAAAGCAGAGCCCCAGCAGCAGCCCTACTCGCGAGCGCTCCCCCTCCCCCTCTTTTCGATGGCCCTTCTCTGGCAAGACTTCCCCACCTTGTTCCCCAGCAAATCTCTCCAGGCACAAGGCTGCAGCCTATGATATCAGTGAGGATGAAGAAGACTAATTTTTCCTCCCTCCTTTCCTCTCCTCTCCCTCTGTCCCATTACCTTCAAAGCTCTCTGTTGAATTCCAGACTGTGACCCCAACACTAAACAGCTACAAAGGAAAGACAACTGGGGCAAGAGGACCTAGGACTGGGGAAACCAGAACAGCCTGTCCTCCAAGTGACATCACTCACCCACACGAAGGAGGGGGCTGCACCTTAGAAGCCTGCTCTGCATCCATTTACCCTCCCCGAGGGCTTTGTTTCACTGTTTATGTTCACGTGATCTCAACAGGGAAATCGTCATTTTTATTAAGTTTTTTTAAAATTAGTCTTTCAAATGTAGAACTAATTTTTTGCCCGAGGAGTGGGCAGAAGAAGGAGGTAGTGTAATACGCAGAGGCCTTTTCTTCCCAGTACACTATAGCATTTGCCTTCCGTTCTGAAGTGAAGTGGCTTGCCAAGTCCTTCACAAAATGAGCCATGCTGGTGGGTAATCTGTGGAGAAATATCTTAATTCTGATTTCCTTAAGAAAAAGCTAAAAGCCGAGTTACAGTCACAAATCCCCTCAACGTACTGCTGTCACCAGTGTCATTGTGGCTGTAGGAAGGAGATCTGAGCCTAACTTGTCTTACTCCCTGAGGAGTTTCTTACTGGACCCAGTGGGGCCCATGAAGACACTGACGGGGATACTGGAAGCAGACCCATGGCATCAGCTGCAGTGTTTCTGCTGTGTTCATCTTCTCAGAAAATTCTGTGACCCGCTTCTCTGGGAGCTTTTGTGAGTCTCTTTCCTGCCATCTACCTTCAAAGGAAGGAACACTTTTCGGGTTACGAGGATGAGGAGAGGAGCGGGACAATACTCAGTCCCATGCCAAGTCAGTTGAGATTTGTTTCCTACTGGGAGGAGTGCCTGGCCCTGCTACTCCTATTTGAATGTTATTAATGTTACCTAGCCTTTTGCAGAGGATACTTTGTAAATGTCTGCCATCGGAACTTGATGTCAATCCCTTTTGGTCATAGCCATATTGAATAGAGAGATTTGCACAGAATGTAGAAGCAAAAGCATAGGAAACACCTTCCTTTCTGAAGCAACAGCCTCATCATCTTGACCTCTGTCCCTCTTAAGAACATTCTTCACCGGAACCAGAGCTCCACAGAGTCTTTCTTTTCCTCGGAGAGCCGTGGCTGGCAGGGACCTCCCTCCGCCGCCCCTCCAGCAAGCCACAGAACATGCCCTCACGGGACAAGATGTGGTAGGTTTTCTCCTTTTCTCCCCACTTCTCACACACGCCTGGTGGTTGTGGTGCCATCTCCGTGTTAGCTTGCCTGGGGGATTCAACACTTGAATTTCCAATAGAAGGATGCTAACGCCTAACACCTGCGCTCATGCCTAACACCTGCGCTCATGCCTAACACATCTTTGAAGATGAAAAAAATCAGCAATAGTTTAACCTAGAGAAAGGAAGGAAAGGAGAGTATGAAGGCAATGGAAATCTGTTAGAACAGAATGCTTCATGGTAGGTATTTGGAAGAATAAATACATCCAAAGAGATCATTAAATTAACTCGCGTAGTGGCACATGCCTGTAATCCCAGCTATTGAGGAGGCTGAGACAGGAGAATCACTTGAACCTGGGAGGCGGAGGTTGCAGTGAGCCGAGGTCACGCCACTGCACTCTAGCCTGGGCGACCGAGTGAGACTCTCTTATCTCAAAAATATATATATATATAAAAATATATATATAATATATGCATAATATATAAATGATATCAAATATGTATTATATTACATTATATAATAGAAACATTAAACATTATATTAAAAGGATATAATTTATATAAATATGATTATATGTACTCTAATATACATTAAATCAGGGTGTAAGTTATCCTGGCCAATAGCCACTTGGTAAAAAGAATTTGGGCTAACGCTAACTTCTTCCCAGACCAGTTCCACAGTGACCCCTTCGGCCGTTTGGTTAATATGTCAGCCTGGGTTTGCTAAAAGGTGGGATGGAATGGTACAAAGGAGACGTTGGTAGGCTGGGGAAGCACTGGAGAGAGCAAGAGGAGTCTGGGGATTGGTCTGAGAAAGGTTCAGTGATCTACTTGGCCTAACCTAGGATGATTAGCTGTGCTGCAGGCAGCCACTTGATCAACAGCCTTCTGTGCTATTGCCACCTATCCAGTAATGGGAAATTTCCTGCTCTATGCTATCTAGTAGCAAGGAAACAACAAAATAGTCTTAATTTGCATATTGTATCCCTTTGTGTTTCACAGGATCAAATAGTGTGAGATTGTAGCCCTCTGACTTGTTTAGGAAAAATGGAGGTATGTTAGTTACTTCATGGACATGACTTCTGGGATACTTCAAAAAAAGATTTTTTTTTTTTTTTTTGAGACAGAGTCTCGCTTCTGTCTCCCAGGCTGGAATGCAGTGGCACAATCTCAGCTCACTGGAACCTCCGCCCCGAGCCTCAAGAGATTCTCCCGCCTCAGCCTCCCGAGTAGCTGGGACTACAGGCGCCACCACCATGCCCAGCTAATTTTTGTATTTTTAGTAGACACAGGGTTTCACCATATTGGCCAGGCTGGCCTCAACTGCTGATCTCAGGTGATCCGCCTGCCTCGGCCTCCCAAAGTGCTGGGATTACAGGCGGAGCCACCATGCTTGGCCCAAAAATCTTTTAATGTATTATTTTTAACAGGCAGAGCCAATGCAGTGACTTCTGACAGAAGGATTATATGCTCAGATTTTGTTTTATTTTGCTTTGTCTTATTAAAAATTATCTTTTTAAAAATAATTTTTTTCTTCTTTTTTTTAGTTGACACATGGTGGCAGTAAAAGAATTTTAATAGAGATAGGGTTTCACTGTGTTGCCCAGGCTGGCCTCAAACTCCTGGGCTCAAGCAGTCCTCCTGCCCTGGTCTCCTGGGCTGCGCCGCAAATTACAGGTGAGCTCCTGCACCCGGCCCAGTTTTTCCACAGCATTTCATGAAACCTATGCACAAGGAAAGAAGGCCAAGATATTGCTGGCCAAGTCGGCTCGCCAACCTCCTAACCCTAAACCAAACCCATTGGGATTGGCATATTTAATGCAAAATTTTTATTTGTATTATGGAGAGAGAGGATGAGTGAGAGGAGGAGATTTTGTATTTTGAGGCAGGTAGTGGATTAATTTGAGGTCAGGAGATTGAGACCAGCCTAAGCACATGGATACGAATATAAAATACAAAAATTATCCCGCATGGTGGCTTTCGCCTGTAATCCCAGTGACTTGGGAGGCTGAGGCAGGAGAATCACTTGAACCTGGGAGGCAGAGGTTGCATGAGCCTAGACTGTATCACCACCCTCCAGCTTGGGTGACAGAGCAAGACTCCATCTCAAATAAATAAGTAAATAAATAAATACATAAAATACAGCTATTTAATAAATATGAAACCCCATCTCTACAAAAGTACAAAATTTAGCCGGGCATGGTGGTGTGTACCTGTAGTCCCAGCTACTTAGGAGGCTGCAATGGGAGGATCATTTGAGCCTGGGAGGTGGAGGTTTCAGTGAGCTGAGACCATGTCACTGCACTCCAGCCTGGGTGACAGAGCCAGACCCTGTTTCAAAAAATCACATCAAATGAAATCAATATATTCCTGGCCAGTTTAATATCCATAAAGTACAAAAAGGGTATAAAGGAAAATGTCTTTTCCTCTCAAGACCTGTCTCACAGCCACCTGGTGTCTTTCTATAACAGGCCACCAATATTACCCATTTCTGTGAATATCTAAGTAAATTGTTTATATATCCTCCCACCTTTTAGTGGGTGTATTATGCTATATTCAATCTTCCATTGAAATTTAGGTCATTTCCTATAAACTGTACTGCAATGAATAACGTCTGTATTTACTGTGAGGGAATTCCCAGAATTAGAATGGCTGGGCCAAAGCTATAAGCATTTGTTGTTTGTCTTTGATAGATACGACTCCATCTGCCCTCTTGAAGTTGCTGATACCCTTCAGCAGTGTGGGTGATTTCTTGGTTTAAAATCTACTTGTTTATCAATAAAGTTTTGAAAAAACTTCATAAACCTCCTGAGAAACCCACCTTCTCCTTGTTTCATTGCCCTGAAGAGAGGAAGGAGATGTACCTGACCCTCAGCCTCAGTGTACCTATTCTCAGCCTCAGTGTACCTGATCCTCAGCCTCAGTGTACCTATTCTCAGCTTCCAAGTGTACCTGATTTAGGCCTTCAGTGTATCTGACCCTGAGCCTCAGTGTACCTGACCTCAGCCTCAGTGTATCTGATTCAGCCTCAGTGTACCTGACCTCTCAGCCTCAGTGTACCTGATCCTCAGCCTCAGTGTACCTATTCTCAGCCTCAGGTAGCCTGACCCTCAGCCTCAGTGTACCTGACCTCAGCCTCAGTGTACCTGACCTCAGCCTCAGGATCTGACCCTCAGCCTCAGTGTACCTGATCCTCGCCTCAGTGTGTACCTATTCTCAGCCTCAGTGTACCTGACCTCAGCCTCAGTGTACCTGACCTCAGCCTCAGTGTGTGTATCTGACCAGCCTCAGTGTACCTATTCTCAGCCTCTTTCAGTGTACCTTGACTTCAGCCTCAGTGTATCTGACCTCAGCCTCAGTGTACCTATTCTCAGCCTCAGTGTACCTGACCCTCAGCCTCAGTGTATCTGACCCTCAGCCTCAGTGTACCTGGACCAGCCTCAGTGTACCTGACCCTCAGCCTCAGTGTATCTGACCTCAGCCTCAAAGTGTATCTGACCCTCAGCCTGTGTATCTGACCTCAGCCTCAGTGTACCTTATTCTCAGCCTCTGTGTGTACCTGACCTCAGCCTCAGTGTAGCTGACCTCAGCCTCAGTGTACCTATTCTCAGCCTCAGTGTGTACCTGACCTCTCAGCTCAGTGTATCTGACCTCAGCTCAGTGTACCTGACCTCAGCCTCAGTGTACCTGACTCCTCAGCCTCAGTGTATCTGACCTCAGCCTCAGTGTACCTATTCTCAGCCTCAGTGTACCTTGACCTCAGCCTCAGTGTGTACCTGACCCTCAGCCTCAGTGTATCTGACCTCAGCCTCAGTACTCTATTCTCAGCCTCAGTGTACCTGACACTCAGCCTCAGTGTATCTGACCTCAGCCTCAGTGTACCTGACCCTCAGCCTCAGTGTACCTGGACCTCAGCCTCAGTGTATCTGACCTCAGCCTCAGTGTACCTATTCTCAGCCTCAGTGTACTGACCTCAGCTCAGTGTACCTGGACTGGCCTCAGTGTATCTGACCTCAGCCTCAGTGTACCTATTCTCAGCCTCAGTGTACCTGACCCTCAGCCTCAGTGTACCTGATCCTCAGCCTCAGTGTACCTGATCCTCAGCCTCAGTGTACCTGACCCTCAGCCTCAGTGTATCTGATTCTCAGCCTCAGTGTAGCCTGACCTCAGCCTCCCAGTGTACCTGACCTCAGCTCCAGTGTGTACTGACCCTCAGCCTCAGTGTACCTGACTCCTCAGCCTCAGTGTATCTGATTTCAAAGTGTAGCTGATCCTCGGCCTCAGTGTACCTTGACCCTCAGCCTCAGTGTACCTGGACCCTCAGCCTCAGTGTATCTGGACTTCAGCCTCAGTGTACCTGACCCTCAGCCTCAGTGTACCTGACCCTCAGCCTCAGTGTATCTGACCTCAGCCTTGTGTGTACCTGATCTCAGCCTCAGTGTATCTGACCAGCCTCAGTGTACCTGATCTCAGCCTCAGTGTACCTATTCTCAGCCTCAGTGTACCTATTCTCAGCCTCAGTGTACCTGACCCTCAGCCTCAGTGTATCTGACCTCAGCTCCCAGTGTACCTGATCCTCAGCCTCAGTGTACCTATTCTCAGCCTCAGTGTACCTGACCAGCCTCAGTACCTGACCTCAGCCTCAGTGTATCTGACCCTCAGCCTCAGTGTGTACCTATTCTCACCTCAGTGTGTTCCTGACCCTCAGCCTCAGTGTATCTGACCTCAGCCTCAGTGTACTCTATTCTCAGCTCCTCTCTCAGTGTACCTGGGACTCCTCAGCCTCAGTGTGTACCTGACCTCAGCCTCAGTGTACCTGACCCTCAGCTCCCAGTGTATCTGACCTCAGCCTCAGTGTACCTGATCCTCAGCCTCAGTGTACCTATTCTCAGCCTCAGTGTACCTTGACCTCAGCCTCAGTGTACCCACCTCAGCCTCAGTGTATCTGACCTCAGCCGTTATGTACCTATTCTCAGCCTCAGTGTACCTGGACTCCCTCAGCCTCAGTGTATCTGACCCTCAGCCTCAGTGTACTATTCTCAGCTCCCCAGTGTACCTGACCTCAGCCTCAGTGTATCTGACCTCAGCCTCAGTGTACCTGACCTAGCCCAGTGTACCTGACCTCAGCCTCAGTGTATCTGACCTCAGCCTCAGTACCTGACCCTCAGCCTCAGTGTATCTGACCTCAGCCTCAGTGTATCTGACCCTCAGCCTCAGTGTGTACCTTATTCTCAGCCCCAGTGTACCTGGGACCAGCCTCAGTGTAGCTGACCTCAGCCTCAGTGTACCTATTCTCAGCCTCAGTACCTGACCTCAGCCTCAGTAAACATCTGGACTAGCCTCAGTGTGTACCTGACCTCAGCCTCAGTGTGTATCTGACCTCAGCCTCAGTGTACCTATTCTCAGCCTCAGTGTACCTGACCCTCAGCCTCAGTGTACCTGACCCTCAGCCTCAGTGTACCTGACCCTCAGCCTCAGTGTATCTGACCTCAGCCTCAGTGTGTACTTATTCTCAGCCTCAGTACCTGACCTCAGCCTCAGTACTGACCTCAGCCTCAGTGTATCTGGACCTCAGCCTCAGTGTACCTATTCTCAGCTCCCAGTGTAGTTGACCTCAGCCTCAGTGTGTACCTGATCCTCAGCCTCAGTGTACCTGACTCCTCAGCCTCAGTGTATCTGATTCTCAGCTCAGTGTACCTGACCCTCAGCTCCCAGTGTACCTGACCTCAGGCCTCAGTGTACCTGACCCTCAGCCTCAGTGTACCTGACCTCAGCCTCAGGTGTATCTGATTCTCAGCCTCAGTAGCTGATCCTCAGCCTCGGCGTACCTGACCTCAGCCTCAGTGTACCTGACCTCAGCCTCAGTGTATCCTGACCCTCAGCCTCAGTGTACCTGACCTCAGCCTCAGTGTACCTGACCAGGCCTCAGTGTACCTGACCCTCAGCCTCAGTGTGTATCTGATCTCAGCTCCCAGTGTAGCTGATCCTCAGCCTCAGTGTACCTGACCTCAGCCTCAGTGTGGCCTGACCTCAGCCTCAGTGTACCTGACCTCAGCCTCAGTACCTTGCTCAGCCTCAGTGTACCTGACCCTCAGCCTCAGTGTACCTGACCCTCAGCCTCAGTGTATCTGACCTGCAGCCTCAGTGTACCTATTCTCAGCCTCAGTGTACCTGACCCTCAGCCTCAGTGTATCTTGACCTCAGCCTCAGTGTGTACCTGACTCCCTCAGCCTCAGTGTGTACCTGGATCCTCAGGCTCTCAGTGTATCTGACCTCAGCCTCAGTGTACCTATTCTCAGCCTCAGTGTACCTGACCTCAGCCTCATGTATCTGGACTTTCGCCTCAGTGTACCCTGACCCTCAGCCTCAGTGTACCTGACCTCAGCCTCAGTGTATCTGACCTCAGCCTCAGTACCTATTCTCAGCCTCAGTGTACCTGACCTCAGCCTCTCAGTGTACCTGACCTCAGCCTCACAGTGTATCTGACCAGCCTCAGTGGTACCTATTCTCAGCCTCAGTGTACCTGGACTAGCCTCAGTGTACCTTGATCCTCAGCCTCAGTGTACCTGACCCTCAGCCTCAGTGTATCTGATTCTCAGCCTCAGTGTACCTGACCCTCAGCCTCAGTGTACCTGACCTCAGCCTTCAGTGTACCTGGACCCTCAGCCTCTCAGTGTATCTGATTCTCAGCCTCAGTGTAGCTGATCCTCAGCCTCAGTGTACCTGACCCCTCAGCCTCATGTACCTGACCTCAGCTCCCCAGTGTATCTGACCTCAGCCTCAGTGTACCTGACCCTCAGCCTCAGTGTAACTGACTCCCTCAGCCTCAGTGTATCTGATCCTCAGCCTCAGTGTAGCTGACCTCAGCTCAGTGTACCTGACCTCAGCTCAGTGTACCTGACCCTCAGCCTCAGTGTACCTATTCTCAGCCTCAGGGCCTGACCCTCAGGCCTCAGGTGTACCTGACCTCTCAGCCTCAGTGTATCTGACCTCAGCCTCAGTGTACTTATTCTCAGCCTCAGTGTACCTGACCCTCAGTCTCAGTACTGATCCTCAGCCTCAGTGTACCTGACCCTCAGCTCTCAGTGTATCTGATTCTCAGCCTCAGTGTACCTGACCTCACCTCAGTGTACCTGACCTCAGCCTCAGTGTACCTGACCCTCAGCCTCAGTGTATCTGATTCTCAGCCTCAGTGTAGCTGGATCTCAGCTCAGTGTACCTGACCTCTCAGCCTCAGTACCTGACCCTCAGCCTCAGTGTATCTGACCAGCCTCAGTGTACCTGGACCTCAGCCTCCCAGTGTACCTGGACCCTCAGCCTCAAGTGTACCTGACCTCAGCCTCAGGTAGCTGATTCAGCCCCAGTGTAGCTGATCCTCAGCCTCAGTGCACCTTGACCTCAGCCTCAGTGTACCTGACCCTCAGCCTCAGTGTACTGACCTCAGCCTCAGTGTGTACCTGACCCTCAGCCTCAGTGTACCTGACCCTCAGCCTCAGTGTACCTGACCCTCAGCCTCAGTGTATCTGATTCTCAGCCTCAGTGTACCTGACCCTCAGCTCCAGTACCTGACCTCAGCCTCAGTGTACCTGACCCTCAGCCTCAGTGTATCTGACCTGCAGCCTCAGTGTACCTGACCCTCAGCCTCAGTGTACCTGGACCTCAGCCTCAGTGTATCTGACCTGCAGCCTCAGTGTACCTGACCCTCAGCCTCAGTGTATCTGACCCTCAGCCTCAGTGTACCTGACCCTCAGCCTCAGTGTATCTGATTCTCAGCCTCCCAGTGTACCTGGACCTCAGCCTCAGTGTACCTATTCTCAGCCTCAGTGTACCTGATCCTTAGCCTCAGTGTATCTGACCTTGAGCCTCAGTGTACCTGGACTCGAAGCCTCCAAAGTGTATCTGATTCTCAGCCTCAGTGTATCTTGGATTTCAGCTCAGTGTACCTGACCCTCAGCCTCAGTGTACCTGACCTCAGCCTCAGTGTGTATCTGATTCTCAGCCTCAGTGTATCTGACCTGCAGCCTCAGTGTATCTGACCTGCAGCCTCAGTGTACCTGACCCTCAGCCTCAGTGTATCTGATCCTCAGCCTCAGTGTGCCTGGACCTCAGCCTCAGTGTACTCCGACCCTCAGCCTCAGTGTATCTGATCCTCAGCCTCAGTGTACCTGACCCCTAGCCTCAGTGTATCTGGATCTCAGCCTCAGCAGCCTGACCAGCCTCAGTGTATCTGATTTCAGTTCAGTGTACCTGACCCTCAGCCTCAGTGTATCTTGACCTGCAGCTCAGGTGTACCTGACCTCAGCCTGCGTGTATCTGATCCTCAGCCTCAGTGTATCTGACCTGCAGCCTCAGTGTATCTGATTCTCAGCCTCAGCACAGTGTATCTGATGACATCAATTCCGTCTTTCCCAAATGATGTAAATGCTCCTACTGTTATTTTCAAGCTGCAGTAAATAGCCTTCCTTTATTCACATAAAGTGATACAAGTTATGACGAACCCTTATATTTATTATTGAAGCATGACGAACCATTATGCTGATTTCTGCTTAATGTTTATTTGGCTTTGGAATTATTTTGTTCCCCAGAAATCATTTCCTGGTTTCTAAGTTGACAGCTCTCTGTTATTAGTTGTGCTCTGGACAAGTTTGGTACAACCAGGCTACCAGAGGTAAAGTTAGTGCAGATGATGATGTTAAAAATCTCTTTATAGGCTGAGTATGGTGGCTCACACCTGTAATCCCAGCAGTTTGGGAGGCCAAGGTGGGATTGCTAGAGTCTGAGAAGTTCGAGACCAGCCAGCAACATGGTCTCTACAAAAAAAAAAAAAATTAGCTGGCATGGTGGTGTGATCTGTGGTCCCATCTACTCGGAGGCTGAGAGATGGGAGGATCACTTGAGCCCAGGAGGTCAAGGCTGCAGTGAGCTCTGATTGTACCACTGCACTCCAGCCTGGATAACAGAGTAAGACCCTGTCTCAAAAAAAAAATGAAAAGGTGTTTATAGTCAAGTTATTTTTCATAACCCAACCTACTCCCAAATTAGGTGAATACCCAGAGAACATCTAAAGAAAGGAGTATGCAATGGGGCAGGGCGCGGTGGCTCACGCCTGTAATCCCAGCACTTTGGGAGGCCGAGGCGGGTGGATCACGAGGTCAGGAGATCGAGACCATCCTGGCTAACACTGTGAAACTCCATCTCTACTAAAAAAAAAAATACAAAAATTAGCCGTCATGGTGGTGGTGCCTGTAGTCTCAGCTACTCGGGAGACTGGGAGGCAGAATGGCATGAACCTGAAGGCAGAGTGTGCAGTGAGCCAAGATTGCACCACTGTACTCCAACCTGGGAGACAGACTCACTTCAAAAAAAAAAAAAAAAAGGAGATGCAGTCAATGGGAACTGTCACCCAGGGCCATTTACTTGCTAAGTACAAGATATCAATCAATGTATTTTGTGGCTGGGCACAGTGGCTCACACCTGTAATCCCAGCACTTTGGGAGGCTGAGGCTGGCGGATCATTTGAGACCAGGAGTTCGAGACCAGCCTGGCCAACAAGGAAAAACCCCATCTCTGCTAAAAACACAAGAATAGCCAGGCATGATGACATGCACCTGTAGTCCTAGCTACTTGGGAGGCTGAGGCAGGAGAACCACTTGAATCCAGGAGGCAGAAGGTGCAGTGAGCCGAGATCATGCCGCTGGACTCCAGCCTGGGCAACAGAGTAAGACTTGGTCTCAAAAAAAAAAAAAAAAAGTATTTTTGTGATCTGTTCTTCATTTGGATTTAGGTGAGCGACCTGTGAGAGTTTATGCTGATGGAATATTTGACTTATTTCACTCTGGTCATGCTCCTAGCTCTGATGCAAGCAAAGAACCTTTTCCCTAATACGTACCTCATTGTGGGAGGTAAGAAAACATTTGATGGCTTCCAGGTGCAGGGAGAAAAAGATGATAGTAGAGTCTGTATTTCTCTCTGTCTTGGCAACCTGAGTACACTGGCTCTGTTTCTGTTTTTAAGTGAAGGATGTAGTACAGCCTCTAAAACATGAATATATGAGGCATCTGCAACCTAAACTCTGGAGAGAGGAGCTAAGTTCATTGACTGTGACATCTGACATTTATCCCACTGTTTTTAGCTGCTTGGGTTAGTCACAGGAGCAACAATGACTTCTGCTGCCCAGTTAAAAAACATTTGCTTTAGATTTCACTTTATTATTTTGAACCAACTGGAATACAAAAGTCTGCCAAGGAAATGTCATGTGGTCCAGTCCAGTGTGAATAAAATAGGAAAACATGGTTGAGGATCAATTGATACAGACATGCACAGCAGGTTGATTTCAGAGTCGAAGATCTTGGTCACCTGTTGTACCGTCTCTTCTCCAAAGTATGAACATACTATTTAGTGAGTGTTGCTCCTGAAGGTATACGCTGCATTAGGAAAAGCGTTGTTACCCAGGTTCAACTGCCTTTAGAAGACTTTTCTCCAGTTGGGGAAGATGGTTGCAGTCCTAAGCAGTGGGAGAAGATGGGAGAGGTCGGGTGGGCTGAGGAGTGCTACAAAGAGGACTCCGACCCACAGTTTATGATGTGGTGAACTCAGTTTGCAGCGATGAGCTCACACACAACTTCAAAGGCTTCACGGTGATGAATGAGAACGAGCGCTATGACGAGTCCAGCACTGGGCTGTACGTGGATGAGGTAGTGAGGAATGCTCTGGACCCTGACACCTGAGTTCCTGGCCGAACACCGGTAAGAAACTGGACACATATTCCCATTCCTTGTTCCAGAATCCCCTCAACTCTCACGACTGCTGGCACGCAGGCTGGTTTTCCACTAGTTCTGTTTTACTTCTACCTCCTATGTAAGTTTCATAGGAGATGACAGTGATATTACTAGTGATAATAGTCATTCCTGACGTTTATATGGGGTTAGGTGGTCGGTAAGCACTTTTACATCCATTCTATTCCATTTTCTCCCACAACAGTCCTGTGGTGTGGTTATCATTTCCACTTACATATGAGTAACAAGTCCTAGAGAAACCAAATAACTCCAAGTTACACCATTGGCAGTGCCGGAATTAAACTTGTCAGTTACGAGACATTTCCACACCACAGGCATGTCTACCCTTAGAACGTGCCAGTTCTGAGAATATCCATAGCTCCAGGCGAACTCTTGGAAGAGGGTCATATTACCAGGAAAACAAGACGGATTACCATAGACTTTCTTGGCGAAGTTTCATTTCAGGCTTTTGGTCTTAGGCTAGAAATTGGGTGGAATCAGAAACCAAGGATATTTCTCAATGTTTCTCATGTTGTTATCAACCCCTTACCTCCTTTTAATTCTCCCACACAGCAACAGACTTCAGCCAGGCAGTGGCTCATGCCCAACCTGTTAACCCTGGGAGCACCGGGCCGTGAGGACCGCCGGTCTCAAGAGTTCAAGACTAGTTTGGGCAATATAGCCGAGATTCTGTCTTTACTTTTAAAAAAAGCTACAGGTTTCTGTAAGAGGTGGGTATAAAAGATGAGAAGGATTGATTAGGCCAGGTTAGAGGTCCCCACGCCTGAGGAAACAGCAAGCATGTTGTCAGTTCTCTACAGGGGTGCGTGGAATGTTGTAGGTAAATTGTTCAGTGAGGCAGAAAGAATAAAGGCAGCCAAAGGGCTTCTAAAGCAATACATGGGTAGGCCTGAAGAGGGGATATTTACTGTAACTATTGAGGATTGGGACAGATCTTCTGTAATTCTCTGACTTTTCTACATCAACACTTAGCAGCCAGTGGCTCCAAAGTGGTAAGCAAGCTTATTCTCAGCATCACAGCCCACAGGCCCACACAGAAGTATGAGGTTAGAGGAATTTCTTTTTTTTTTTTTTTTTCTGAGACGGAGTCTCGCTCTGTTGCCCAGGCTGGAGTGCCATGGCATGATCTCGGCTCACTGCAAGCTCTACCTCCCGGGTTCATGCCATTCTCCTGCCTCAGCCTCCCGAGTAGCTGGGACTACAGGCGCCCACCACCACGCCTGGCTAAGCTTTTGTATTTTTAGTAGAGACGGGGTTTCACTGTGGTCTCGATCTCCTGACCTTGTGCTGGGCCTCCCAAAGTGCTGGGATTACAGGCGTGAGCCACTGTACACCCGGCTGGTTAGAGGAATTTAACTCTTGCTTTTCTCTTTGTTAACAGCATATACTCAACTGTGAGTTTTGCTTGTCCCATTCTTTTTTTTTTTTTGAGACGGAGTCTCGCTCTGTTGCCCAGGTTGCAGTGCAGTGGCGCTATCTCGACCACTGCAACCTCCACCTCCCAGTTTCAAGCGATTCTCTTGCTTCAGCCTCCTGAGTAGCTGGGATTACAGCCACGCGCCACCACGCCCGGCTAATTTTTTTGTATTTTTAGTAGAGATAGGGTTTCACCATGTTAGCCAGGATGGTCTTGATCTCCAGTCCCTGATCCGCCTGCCTCAGACCCCCAAAGTGCTGAATTACAGGCGTGAGCCACCGCCTCGGCCTTCTCGGCCTCCCCGTTCTTTACTTTGCTGCCTATGATCCCTGGGACAAGCTGTCTAAGAGAGCAATTGAGATGCTAGCTGAGGGTCTCTGACATAGTCCCAGTGAAAATGCTTCACACCACAGTGGCCCTGGAGGTTGCATAGTGATCTTAGTAATTATCAGCAAAAGGCTGGTGGCCCATTCGGGAAGGACTAAGTGAAGTTTAGCATGTGTCTGAACAACATTATTGATCTCCAGTGTCATTCGTCTCTTCTTGCTCTTGCAAAGGATATTCATAGTAGTAAAATGGCCGGGCGCAGAGCTCATACCTGTAATCTCAGCACTTTGGGAGGCCGAAGCCAGTCACTTGAGGTCAGGAGTCAGGACCAGCCTGACCAACATGGTGAAACCCGTCTCTACTAAAAATACAAAGACACCCAGGCGGCAGGATGCACTAATCCCAGCTACTCGGGAAGGCTGAGGCAGGAGAATCGCTTGAATTCAGGAGGCAGAGGTTGCAGTGAGCCGAGATCGTGCCATTGCACCTGCTGGGCGACAGAGCAACATCTGTCCCAAAAAAAAAAAAAAAAAGTAGTAAAATGATAGATGATAGATCCTGAGGATAAAATATCTTTTATGACTTTGGGCTTGTATTTCAGAATATAGATGTATCTATTCCAGTCATAGGGCTGGTGGTTGCTATTTTTATATTCCCTCTTCTCACGGACTGAGAGAAACCAGTTAGGAAAGAAGTAACTCTTTTCTCATACTTTTTTTTTTTTTTTTTTTTTTGAGACAGTCTTGCTCTGTCACTCTGTCACCCAGGCTGGAGTGTAATGGTGTGGGTCTCAGCTCACTGTAGCCTCCACCTCCCGGGTTCAAGCAATTCTGCTTCAGCCTCCCAAGTAGCTGGGATTACAGTCGCCGGTCCCCATGCCTGGCTTATTTTTTTGTATTTTTAGTAGAGACGGGGTTTCACTGTGTTAGCCAGGATGGCTCCTACCTTGACCTCATGATCTGCCTGCCTCGCCTCCCAAAGTGCTGGGATTACAGGCGTGAGCCACCACGCCCGGCCTTTCTCATACTTTTAGAAACCCTTATTTGACCAAATCCTTCCAGACCCAGGACAGGAAGATTCCTTCTTTCCTAGGCTCCACCCACTGACTGGTTCACCAGCAAACCCTCTGGCCCTATTGACCACAGCAAGATGACTGGTATACAGAGTGAGGGTAACAGTTCTAGTAGACTAGGAGAAATACAGGAAAAGCAGCTGGCTAACTTTCTATTTGTACTCCATAAATCATTAGGGTTGGGTGGTTTTAGAATAGATTTGTAGCCTGGCTCTGCTTATTGTCCTTTTTCTGGGCCTGAGAACATTGACTGGGTCTTTCTGAATGGCAGTTATCGTGGGTTTTAATGATGTTTCCTTATTTTCAGATTGATTTGTAGCCTATGATGATATCCTTATTCATCTGCTGGAAGTGATGATGTTTATAAGCACATCAAGGAGGCAGGTGAGTGAGCTGATGTGCTTCCTCACTTTAGGGGATCTCAGAGCAGCTGCAGATGTTCAGCCATGTTGCTACTTTACAGAGGAAAATGTATACATTAGAAATTCAACATCCTCTTTCAGGCCACATTTTGGATAAAAGGTGAAGATGGTTTAGCATCCATCAGTTCTTTCATCATCAGTTCATGACATCCATCAGTTCTTGGTCTAAACATCTACTTTTGATATCTCTCTTAATTTCAGGAACGCTTTCATATTTTTCAATATTAGGCTATGTAACTCTTCTTTGCCTTACCTCTGGACTTTCATTCAGTCTTCCTTCTGTATATCAGTATCTCTCCGTTTCATTTAGTAATAACAGATTCTGCTTTTGAGGAAAGCGAAGGGAACATTGCCCTAGTTTCCATTTAGTCTACTACCTGAGCTGACCAGAATCTCTGTCCAGTGTTTGTCTGTCTGTGTTTCTGAGTCAGGCATGTTTGCTCCAACACAGAGTGATTGCAGCTGCACCTTACGTCAGACATCATCACTCGGATCGGCGGGACTACGACGTGTATGCGAGGCGGAACCTGCAGCGGCTAGCACGGCAAAGGAGCTCACTGCCGTTTATCAACGTGAGTTCCAGCCGCCGCACCCCAGACTCCTGACTGTGGATACATTGTTTCACCTGCTCCTTAGCTGCTGAACTGGCTTTGCAGTTAGCTCTGATGATCACTCCCAAAAGTTCAGTGAATGAATTACCACTATGTTAACTGTTTACAAAAAGAATGAAACAGACAGTTTCTGCCGTTACTTGCCCAGGACCAACACATTGGTATAAAGCCATACAGCCAACAAAATAAATAAGAAAGAGTAATTTAGATAGTACAGTATTTCTGTTAATAAATTGAAAACTGTGTCTCTTAAACTTCCTTTTTCTTTTTTGGTTGATGATCTTTGGGAACCTGCTAAAGCCTATGAACCTCTCCCCGTGTGACAGTGACACGACACACCACTTCCCCCGCATAGACCTGAGTTTTAAATTTTGATTGATGAAAGCTTAAGTTTATCTTAGTTTACTATTGCCTTTAGAAACTCTGTACATTTTACTGGGCTTGGGTGGTCTATGCCTGTAATCCCAGTACTTTCGTAGGCTGAGGTGGGAGGACTGCTTGAGGCCAGGGCGTTTGAGACCAGTCTGGGAGGCAGCATAGCGAGACCCCATCTCTAAACAAACAAACAAAAAAACTCATATATATATGTATGTAGTATATGTATGTTTGTAGTGTGTGTATATATATGTGTGTAGTATATATATATGTAGTGTATATATATGTATGTAGTATATATTCATTCTTTTTGTAAACAGTTATACATATACTGCAGTATATATATATACACACACACTACATATATATATACACACACACACACTACATATATATATATACACACACACCATATATATATGTAGTATTTCTTTCTTTTTGAGACAGGGTCTTGCTCTGTTGCCCAGGCTGGAGTGCAGTGGCGTGATCTCGGCTCACTGTGGCCTCTGTCTCCTGGGTTCAAGTGATTCTGGTGCCTTAGCCTCCTGAATAGCAGTGATTACAGGCTTGTGCCACCACACCTGGCCACCTTTTGCATTTCCTTTAGCAGAGATGGGGTCAGCCATGTTTCCCAGGCTGGTCTTGAACTCCTGACCTCAAGCCGATCGGCCCCCTGGCCTCCCAAAAGTGCTGGGATTACAGGCATGAGCTACCGTATCTATCCAACACTACACATTTTAAATGTGAATTAGACTCTAACAAAATTAATTTAAAAAGAAGAAAGCTGCTAACTTACTGTTCTACACAGTCAGTTTACTATGTCACCCCCACCTGCTCCCATCTCTGTGAATTGTGCTATAAGAATGGATAAAATGATTACATCTAACATGATTTATCTAGGCAGACAAACACTAGCTCTTGTTAATTTATTTACTATAGCTTTATTTTTCCCATAAAATCAGGTGCTTAAAAATGCAACATATTCCCTTCCTCTTTATGATCCGGAAATTATGAGAGATTTTTTTTTTTTTTGCGATAGAGTAACACTCAGTCACCCAGGCCAGAGTACAGTGGCGCAATCTTGGCTTACTGCAGCCTTGACCTCCGGGCTCAAGTGATCCTCCCATCTCAGTGCCTGAGTAGCTGGGACTATGGGCATAGGCCACCATACCCAGCTAATTTTTTATATTTTTATTTTTAGTAGAGATGAGGTCTTGCTTATGTTGCTCCAGGGGGCTGCTTCGCGAGTTCCTGGCCTCAAGCAGTCCTCCCACCTCGGTTTCCCAAAGTGCTGCACAGGCATGAGCCACTGTGCCTGGCCAAGGATACTTTCATTTGACTACATTCCCCTCCTCTCTGCCACAGGCTTATACCGCTTTTCCTTTTCTTTAGCAGCCGTGTAGGCCAACGAGTACGCATTTCACAGATGGGTAAACGGACCTTAAAACAAAGGAGCAAAAGCAAAAACACAGCTCATTAACATAATAGAGCCAGCCAGCTGACGGAATTCAGTTCGATGAGCGGATGAAGCGGAAGATCAGTGTTTTCTCTCTCGATCCATCGTGATTCGTTATTCTTGGGCAGCTGTGCAGGATCTTTAGCTGCCTCTGTATCTCCCTCGATCCATCGTGATTTGTTATTCTCGGCAGTGCTGCAGGGTCCTTAGCTGCCTGTGTATCTCCTCTGGAATGAGGTCGGGGTCAAGTGCTGGGCATGTTGGTGTTCCAAGTTTATGTTTTATCTTTTAAAACTTGACTTATTTGGCTACCTGCCTGCACTGAGTATAGCCATATTTTTAGTTTATTTCCCAAATGCCCACAATATTAGCATTACTATTTTGTGTGTGCATCCACAGCATATCTACTCTGTTATTATGCTAATGACGTGTGGGGTAGATTAAAGCAAAGCAGAATTTCTAGACTGGAAACAGTGTCATTGAGTGCGTTTGAGCCATGTTTTTTTGTTCTCTTATGGCAGAGAAGTTTGCATTTATATTTTTATTTTCAAAATAGTATTTTTTTATCTAGGAGAAGCAAATACCACTTGCAGGAGAGGGTTGACAAAAGTAAAGAAGAAAGTGAAAGACGGGAGGCAAAAGTTTAAAGAATTTGTTCAGGACAGAGAGAAAAGCATTGACCTTATTCAGAAGTGGGAGGAGAAGTCCCGAGAATTCATTGGAAGTTTTCTGGAAATGTTTGGTCCGGAAGGAGCACTGGTACGCTCTTCCCACTGGACAGGAGATCCTAAAAAGCCAGGGAGAATTAGTGTGAACCATCGGTGGAAAGTGACGCGATAGTTACATGAGATTCAGTCTAGTCCCCCATTCTGGCAGAACTATCTTTCAACGGTCCTCAGCAAGGTTTGAAACCTTACAGAAAGAGGTTACACATTCTCCTAGATAATTTTGCCAGCTCTCTATCAACCTTGAAATCTGGCATATGATACAAAACGCCTCTAGCTTATTTGTGGTATGATTTGATAGGAAGGTTAAAGAATAAAGAATAAAAATGTTGCTTCCACCCCAAGTAGCTGCAGCGTGAACCCCAGGTAAGGGAATTCCTTGCCCTGAGGAGGGCTCAACCAGATAAAAGATTGAGCAAGTGAGTCCTAGGTTAGATATCAGGAAGGACTGTCTGTGAAGGTGTTTGGAAAGATAAGAATAATCCTAGAACAGATTATTCGGGAAGAATGGGGAATTTCCCGGGTAATGATAGCAGGTGAGAACCCTTAAATCAATAGTACAGCATAGACTGCCCTAGTCCCAGATGCTTCAGCGAAGGATCAGCAGGATCCACCGCATTGTTTCTAACTCTTCCGGTTTCTCCAGAAACACATGCTGAAAGAGGGGAAGGTCAGATGCTGCAGGCCATCAGTCCAAAGCATAGCCCCAGCAGCAGCCCTACTCACAGCGCTCCTCTCCCCTCTTTCGATGGCTCTTCTCTGCAAGACTTCCCACCTTGTTCCCCAGCAACTTCTCCAGGCACAAGGCTGCAGCCTATGATATCAGTGAGGATGAAGAAGACTAATTTTTCCTCCCTCCTTTCCTCTCCTCTCCCTCTGTCCCATTACCTTCAAAGCTCTCTGCTAGAATTCCAGACTGCATCCCAACACTAAACAGCTACAAAGGAAAGACAACTGGGGCAAGAGGACCTAGGACTGGGGAAACCAGAACAGCCTGTCCTCCAAGTGACATCACTCACCCACACGAAGGAGGGGGCTGCACCCAGAAGCCTGCTCTGCATCCATTTACCCCTCCCCGAGGGCTTTGTTTCACTGTTTATGTTCACGTGATCTCAACAGGGAAATCGTCATTTTATTAAGTTTTAAAATTAGTCTTTCAAATGTAGAACTAATTTTTTGCCCGAGGAGTGGGCAGAAGAAGGAGGTAGTAATACGCAGAGTGCCTTTTCTTCCCAGTACACTATAGCATTTGCTCGTCTGAAGTGAAGTGGCTTACAAGTCCACAAAAATGAGCCAGGTAATCTGTGGAGAAATATCTTAGTTCTGATTTCCTTAAGCAGTGCCAAAAGCCGAAGTTACAGTCACAAATCCCTCAACGTACTGCTGTCATCATGTCATTGTGGCTGTAGGAAGGAGATCTGAGCCTAATCCTGTCTTACTCCCTGAGGAGTTTCTCTTACTGGACCTAATGGGGCCCTATGAAGACACTGACGGGGATACTGGAAGCAGACCCATGGCATCAGCTGCAGTTTCTGCTGTGTTCATCTTCTCTCAGAAAATTTGCACCCGCTCTCTGGGAGCTTTTGTGAGTTCTTCTCACATCACCTTCAAAGGAAGGAACACTTTTTCGGGTTACGAGGATGAGGAGGAGTGACAATACCCAGTCCCATGCCAAGTCAGTTGAGATTTGTTTCTACTGGGAGGAGTGCCTGCCTGCTACTTCCTATTTGAATGTTATTAATGTTACTCTAGCCTTTGGTAGAGGATACTGTAATTGTCATCGGAACTTGATGTCAATCCTTTGGTCATAGCCATGTTGAATAGAGATTTGCACAGAATGTAGAAGCAAAAGCATAGGAAACACCTTCCTTTCTGAAGCAACAGCCTCATCATCTTGACCTCTGTCCCTCTTAAGAACATTCTTCACCGGAACCAGAGCTCCACAGAGCTTTTCCTCGGAGAGCCGTGGCTGGCAGGGACCTCCTCCGCCGCCTCCAGCAAGCCACAGAACATGGCTCCTCAATGGACAAGATGTGTGGTAGGTTTTTCTCCTTTTCTCCCACTTCCTCACACACGCCTGGTGGTTGTGGTGCCATCTCCGTGTTAGCTTGCCTGGGGGATTCAACACTTGAATTTCCAATAGAAGGATGCTAACGCCTAACACCTGCGCTCATGCCTAACACCTGCGCTCATGCCTAACACCTGCGCTCATGCCTAACACCTGCACTCACACCTGACACCTGCGCTCACGCCTGACACCTGCCCTCACGCCTGACACCTGCCCTCACGCCTGACACCTGCCCTCACGCCTAACACCTGCCCTCACGCCTGACACCTGCCCTCACGCCTAACACCTGCCCTCACGCCTGACACCTGCTGTTGAGCATGATCTAACTTTCAAAGCCCTGGCCTCCTGTCTCCTTAGCTACTTAGCTACATGGCCTAGCAGATCATCAGCCATCAGTAATCCTGTGGCTAGATTCAGGGGAAAATGGCTTCTGTCCAGGCCCCACCCCCCGTCACTCATAAATACCCCTTGTGGGGGTGGAGTTTTAGTGTTTTCAGCTAAGAAAACCACATTTTCTCTTTTCTTGCCTCTCCGCTAGGACTGTGAGCATCTCATAGTCCACCCCCTAAACACTTTCTGGTAACACCTGTTCTTCCGCCTGAGGGTCAGAGGCGGGAATCATTGCCTGCACAGCAGGACTACCTAGGTTCTTAAAACTTGGATCACCCAGGCCAGGCGCAGTGGCTCACGCCTGTCATCCCAGCAGTTTGGGAGGCTGAGGCCGGTGGATCACTTGAGGCCAAGAGTTTGAGACCAGCCTGACCAACATGGTGAAACCCCGTCTCTACTAAAAATACAAAAATTAGCCAGGCGTGGTGGTGCGCACCTGTAATCCCAGCTACTTGGAAGTATGAGGCAGGAGAATCCCTTGAACGGAGGCGGAGGTTGCAGTGAGCCAAGATGGTGCCACTGCACTCCAGCCTGTGTAACAGAGCGAGACTCTGTCTCCAAAACAAAACCACACACACAGAAATAAAAAGAAATAATAAAAAAAAATAAAAAATAAAAATACTTGGATCACCCAGAAAGTTAGAGCGTCACAGAGGAGAGGGAGAATGAAGCCTCTTGTTATCCTGATCGCCTATGAAAGTGACATTCCTAACTCTTCTCTTGAAGCACCGTTCTTACTGTCAAAACTGGTCACACAAGCTTTGGCCTGGAGTCCTGTCTTTGAAACAGTTGAAGTTAGTGTTTTCCCGTGCTCCCCAGCGTTATATAGTCTCATCTTTGAACTTATCTGCGCCAGCCTTCGCTCTCTGGGAATTCTGCCTGCTTCTGTCTGACTTACTCTCCCTGGGGTGGAGAGGCAGTGAAGCCTCTGCTGAAGCCCATCTACTTGGTTCCTCCAAGTGCACATTACGCAAGTGTGTTTGGATAGACAGGGAGATGCCCAGAACGTGGTTTTCCTCCCTCCCCACTGGAGCCACACCTCCTACATATGTAGTCTGGGTCCCAGATGGTGGGGCCCTCTTCCTCTGCTCTCGGTGGGCTGCTTTTGGCATGCCCTGTGCTTGGAACGGACCTGCAGGCTGACAGACCTCTGAGACTGCTAGGGCCAGCAAACATACATGTTCTTGGGAAACTCCCTTTCCCCTTTTGGTGAGTTTCTACCACCTCAGTCTAATCGTTTTTTCTGAAGCTGTTTGTTTGACTGAAGCTGAAGTCTTTTATGGTGTGGCATATTAGATACTTTGGGATAAATGTGGTCTTAGGTGCTGGACAAGCATGGGTAGACGGAGGAAGCTGTTGGAATGTTGCATAATTTGGTCATCTGTGCCTAATTAAATGAGGTTAGAGGTGTGTACACCACAACAATGCCTGGGATCTAAATCTTCAGATATTAATGTTTGAGGCTATGGAGCCGTTTCCCTGATTCCCATACAAGAAAGCAGCCAACATGGATGGGCCAAGTGTGGCCAAGATGACAGAGCCAGAAATGCTGGCCTTGGAGTAGAGCCTCCGTGTGTGAGACGTAAGAAGGCCAGAGCCCGCAACCAGAGCGGAGGAGGTGCCAGCGCAGCCACTGCCTTCCGGGGCTGGACAGAAAGCTTGCTCTTCTCTTATGCTAGACTCAGAAGCACTGAAGGATGGAGGTTGAAACTTTAGAGGACTAGAAAGGGATCATTTGTGCTGTTGCAGCTATTGCTGATAGCTAGAGCCAAAGACCATTATTTTGCTGAGGCTTGGGTGAGAAAGTTAAGGATGTGAGGAGGTTGAAAATCCTGAAGAAGAGAAAAAACAAGAGGGAGGTTGAGAAAACTTTTGATACTTTCTGATCGCCGGTAACTCCTTAGGCTGCACCTGAGTGATGGTAGTTTTTTTGGAGGCTGCACAGCTGGTCAGACCATCTCTAGACGTTCTTTCCACAGTGGTTCACAGGGCGTCGTTCTCCCTTCCTGGATTATCTTGACTATGGGTAGCTATTTTCAAGAGCTCTTTGCCTTTTTAATCCTGTTCCAGATCACTTATCCAAAATCTTTCCAAATCAATTATATTTTGCTGCTTTTCTTTAATTCCCTAAAAGCCATAGCTTCTAGATTTTTATCAGCACACAGTCTCACCAGAAGTTGAACCAATACAGGTAGAAAAAGGAAGCCCCCCATTAACATCGGGTTAATGGTAGAGCCAATGTTTTTAACTGATGGTATTTTTTTAAACTTACCAATGTAAGTATTTTTAAAGGTTCTATTTTTCAAAGTCATAACAATGATTGTTCTTGTTTTCTCTCATAGAATAGACTGCCATGGGATAAAGAGTGGTCCCTAGCTTCTATTTTTCCAAGTAAATAAGTAGAACATGTTCTTGGGATTATACCATTAAATGTTAATTTTCTTGAAGAAGAAAGATTGTTGTCTGCCAGGATTTTATGTTAGCACTCGGATTGAGGCAGAAAACGGAAGCACCAAGTTTAACACTGGGATGGCGCGGGTTGTGTTCCTGGAGGTTTGAAGTGGGCCTTCCTGCCTTTTGAGGGGAAAACTGACTGTTTTGAACATATCCTGGATTAGTTGGGTTGTTTTGTATTGAGGATCCCTAGAAGACAAGAGAGTCTTGGAAAGGGCTGCTGGCTTCGTCGTGAACGTTCGTCCCATCACCAGTGTGAGTCCGCGGGGAAGTTTTCCTCAAGTGGGGTTCAGTCTCTAATTTTCCTGTCTGTTATTAGTTTGTTCTGAGTTATTTTGGATTTTGTTCTTTAGCCAAATAAAGGCAATGTGGTCTTACCTCATGTTCCGTGTCCTGTGGTTTTTTTTGTTGTTGTTGTTTTTAGAGACAGAGTTTCACTCTCATTGCCCAGGCTGGAGTGCAGTGGTGCGATCTTGGCTCACTGCAACCTTTGCCTCCCGGGTTCAAGTGATTCTCCTGCCTCAGCCTCCCAAGTAGTTGGGATTACAGACATGCGCCACCACGCCCGGCTAATTTTGTGTTTTTAGTAGAGACGGGGTTTCTCCATGTTGATTAGGCTGGTCTCGAATTCCTGACCTCAGGTGATCCACCCGCCTCGGCCTCCCAAAGTGCTGGGAATACAGGTATGAGCCACCGCGCCTGGCCAGATGCTGTGTTTTGACCTGTGTGGTGCATTTTATGGATTTGGGACTTTTACTTGGACTCTCGATGCCTTTGCTTCCACACACTGATTCTCTCCTCAGAAATCAAGCTCCATGACCACAGCATCAGGAAATTCCTTTTGTAGCTTGTCACCGAAGACTCAAAAGCCATTGTCCCACCAAGCGAGGCTGACCCAGACCCCAGGGCCCCGTGGGGTTGGTGCTCTAGTAGCACATCTGCCAGGGAAAGGTCACCTTCCATCTGTTCTCCAGAGGCTCCTGGCTTCTTGCAGACTTTGGGCTGGTACTGTTTTGCCTCACCAAGTTCTCCTTTTCTTATATCAGACACAATACTATATACTCTTCTTTTCATCTGCTTTAGGAAAGCTCAGTAAGCTTTCTTTTATTTTTTTTTTCCAGAGACAGGGTCTGGCTGTATCACCCAGGCTGGAGTGTACGGCACAACCGTCGCTCACTGCAGCCTCAACCTCCTGGGCTCAAGTGATCCTCCCGCCTCAGGCTCCCAAAGTGCAGGGATAGCAGGCATGAGCTGCCACACCCAGCCAGCAATATACAACCTTGAAGGGCTAATAGTGACATGGACAGAGGCAGTGGGCCCAGTTACACATTTTCAGACATCATCTTGTTTATTACAAAACTTAAAACACCTTCCCCAGGCAAGATACAATTTTATCCTACACGTTGTTCACTTTCATCTGTAGAGTCAAATGTAATCTGCCAGCTTGTGTTGGCAAGCGGAATGCTTTCCGTTTGGTCAAGGTTGAGGGACAGTACAGAAATCTTATATTCTAATGAGTACAGCATCTTTTCACCACCCAAGCCATCCACCTTAGGCTTGGAGGTTCAAGTCTGGGTCTAGAGAAGAGAAAGTTTCGTACCCAACCTTGTGGTCTTTCCTTCGGTAGTACATTCGTGTCAGCACAGTCATTAGGAAGGTCTCCAGGATGAGGAGGTGGCAATTCATCACTGCAGTGTGAGGTGAAATACAGGGTAGGTTATGCTGAGTCACAGAAGTGGTATTTTACTAGCAGCCCTGGCAGAGGAGTTGCGCAACACTGTCTCCAGTTGATCCCCAAACTAGGACTTAGGGATACAAAATTGTCATAAATAACATCGGGTTAATGGTAGAGCCAGAACCAGAACTTGGCTGTCTGCTTCTGTGCTGTGAGGCTAGCATTAAAGTCCATTTCTTCTGTGTGTTCCATCAACATGGGCTTCTGTTTTTTAACCACACCCATTCCTCTCCCCTGAGGACTGAACCCATGGCTTCCTGGGTTGGCCCTCAGGGCTGGCCTCAAGCTGTGGGGTTTCCCTTCTCTTCTGTGTGATCAGAGAGGTCATCCTTTCCTCAAAGCCATTGTTGGCATTTCCCGGAGATCCCTTCTGAATACTGAGCAGAAGTCAGGCCGGCCTAATGTCTGTTCTGAGGCCCTTTCTTTCCTGACTCTCCCCGTCTCATCCATCCCACGATGGGATAGGAGCCTTCACGTGCTCACCTTGAGACCTGGTTTTAGAGGAAAAGGGAGGCGAACAAGCAATCTGCCCGCCGTTGGCCAAGACTGAGAAGATGGCGGGCTGTAGGGCAGTCAGGATGAGGAGAACCTGCGGAACATAAAAGACAGGCAAGGGTGGGCTAGGCCTGCTCTCACGGCACAGAGCCAGCCAGCCCACTGCTGGGCCTTGCCCTTCCACAGGCAGGTTCCACCCACCACCAGATCTGTGCAGTCACAGAGGCTTGAGGCTGTCACTTCATTAAAAATCTGTGGGATTTTCATCTTCAGGCAAATGACGTTTTCATCTTCTACCCACTATTTTGTTAGAGTGTCTGACAAGATACAAGAACTCATTTTAAATTCCCTTTCTCAGCCTTGGCTAGCAGTGAGCACTTACTGATAAAAAGATGGGTGAGTAGAGAAGTCACTCCATCTAGCTCACGCGCCTGAGGTCCCTGTTCTAGAATAATGGACAATTCACCATGAAAACGCCCTGTGAAAACTGCCATGCCAGGGACCGCAGGGAGAGGGCACTGGGGAACGTGTTTCATGGGTGCCGGTGCCGGACCAAGAGGGAGAGGGCACTGGGGAACGTGTTTCATGGGTGCCGGGACCGCAGGGAGAGGGCACTGGGGAACGAGCCATGGGTGCCGACCGCAGGGAGGGCACTCGGGGAACGTGTTTCGCGGTGCCGGACCGCAGGGAGAGGGCACTGGGGAACGTGTTTCATGGGTGCCGGGCTTCAGCTGGGGAGATTTCAGTTCTAGAGATGGATGGAGGTAATGGCAGTACAACGATGTGAATGTACTTAATGCCACAGAACCTTACACTTCAAAATCATTAACAGGGCATATTTTATCAAGATTTCACCACCATAAAGAAGGCGAAAGATAAGAAGAAGAAGATCACTGTCCAGAGGCCCGGAAGCACGCTTTATCTTAGTACTGCCCTCCCTGAGTACGCTGTGTGGAAGCCTCAGCTGCTTCGAGGCTGGCGTGGCTTGCCCAGGCTGCCCCACATTAACCATGGGCAGGCTCGGCCATCACAGGGCTTTTATCTTTCGGCCTGGTCTCAAGTACATCTGGGACCCAGAACCTTTCTGCCCCTTCGATCCCTGACTCGTTCCGGGGACTTCTCTCTCTGTTCCCATAGCCTCTTCCATTCTACCTACTGTGTGCCTGGAAGTTCACATTCGGGAGGCATCTGCATAGATCAAATGAGAACGTATGTGAATTCACTCTGTTAACTGTAGGGCAGTCATTATGCCTTGGGAGTAGAAGACCAGCAAGGAGACAGGATGGAGAGAGAAGGAGACCAAGACTGGGCTAGAAGTCATTGCATTTGGTGGAAAAGGCATCTTTGGGGTTAGAGAATGCAGCACGTAGAAGGCTGGCAAACATGCCTTTGAGAGAATTTTCAGAAGCGGTGTGAAGATGAAGGTCAGGGTAAGGAGAAGACAGATGTGTGCAGGAGTCAGACATACCTGGGTGTAAATTCTAGCCCCATCCCTTATGTGCCTTTGAGCAAGAACATCTCTGGGTCTGTTTCTTCCTTTGTAAAATGGGAATAATAATGACTCCTAGGGTTGTGAAAATTTAAGTGTAACGTGTGAAAGTGCCTCGCAGGTGGTGTGGGTAGTTCCTGTAGCTGTGCTAGTGCTGCTGCTGGTGTTGATGGATTATAGGAGTTTAGGAAGTCATAGGTAGAAAAGGAAAGGAAGAAGCAAGGGTAGACAAATTTAAGGTTTGTTAACATACGTGTTATAGGTGAAATTGTGTCCCCCAAAAAGCTGTGTTGAAGTCTTGCCCCCAAGTACTTGTGACCTTGTTTAAGAACAGTTTGTTTCATATGTAATTGGTTAAGATGAGGTCGTAATGGAATAGGGTGGGCCCTTAGTCTGATTTGACTGGTGTCCTAAAAATAGACGAGACGGGTGGGTGCAGTGGCTCACGCCTGTAATCCCAACACTTTGGGAGGCCAAGGCAGGTGGATCACCTGGGGTCAGGAGTGTGAGACCAGCCTGGCCAACAGTGAAACCCTGTCTCTACTAAAAATACAAAATTCGCTGGGTGTGGTGCTGCATGCCTGTAATCCCAGCTCCTCAGGACACTGAGGCAGCAGAATTGCCTAACCCAAGATCGCACCACTGCACTCCAGCCTGGGCAACAGAGCAAGATTCTGGATTCCGTTTCGAAAAAAAAAAAGACACAGAAACACGTGGGGAGGATGTCATGAGACAATGGAGGCAAAAACTGGAGCGAAACAAATGCTGGTCAAGGGTCACCCAGGACTCTGCTGGGAACCACCCGGAAACAAGAGAGGCTGGAGACCCCCGCAGGGCTTAAAGGGAGCCCCAGGACTCCGCTGGCAACCACCGGAGACAGGAGAGGCTGGAAACCCTCGCAGGGCTCAAAGGGAGCACGGCCCTGCAGGCTCCTTGCTCCCTGACTGTGGGCTTCTAGCCTGCAGCACATGAGACAAGACGTGTCTGTTGTTTCAAGCCATCTAGTTTGTGGTATTTTGTCGTGGCAGCCCTGGGAAACAATTCCAGCACAGAAAGACAAAAAGCGGGACGCACAGGAAGCATTTTCCAAATCTCTTGGGAGATCTGAGACTTACGAAAAAAATGCCCGGGCCAACTTTTAGCCTTTGTTGTTCTCACCTCCTAACCCCAACCATTTGTAGGTCTGTTATGAAACATCTTTTCTCCCCCAGGGCGTAGTTACCTGGAACAGGGCAAATTTGGCTCCCATGCTCTGCTCACCCAGGTGTAGCCTGGCTTGCCGGGAAAGGATGCCCAGGGTCCAGAGAGCCAGCAGTGTGGACACGCCGAGGAAAGTGTTGATCCACAGAGCTGTGCTCGTCTCAGAAATCTGGTGGCAACAGAAAGTAGTCAGTGAGGTAGGCAAGCTTTCTCTCCCTCTCTCTTTCTTTTTAAGAGATGGTGTCACTCTATCACCAAGCCGATGGCAGTGGTGCAATCATAGCTCACTGCAGCGTCACACTCCTGGCTCCAGTGGTCCACTAGCCTCAGGCTCCTGAGTAGCTGGGACTACAGGTGCACACCACCATTCCCAGCTAACTTTTGTTTCGTTTTTTTAAAATAATAGAGATGGGCCAGGCGTCGGGATTCACACCTATAATGGGATTCACACCTATAATCCCAGCACTTTGGGAGGCCGAGGTGGGTGGATCACCTGAGGTCAGGAGATCGAGGTCATTCTGACTAACACAGTGAAACCCCGTCTCTACTAAAAATACAAAATTAGCCGGGCATGGTGGTGCATGCCTGTAATCCCAGCTACTCAGAAGGCTGAGGCAGGAGAATTGCTTGAACCCGGGAGGTGGAGGTTGCAGTGAGCTGGGATCGTGCTATTGCACTTCAGCCTGGGCAACAGAAGAGAAACTCTGTCTCAAAAAAAAAAAAGAGAGACGGGATCTCACTGTGTTGCCCAAGCTGGTCTCAAACTCCTGGCTTCAAGTGATCCTCCCGCCTCAGCCTCCCAAAGTGCTGGGATTACAGGTATGAACCACCATGCCCAGTCTAATTTTAGAAAAAGGGTCTCACTATATTGCCCAGGCTGGTCTTGAACTCCCACTCTTGAGCCTCGTGACCTCGGCCTCCCACCTCGGCCTCGTGAGCCATTGGGATTACAGGCATGTATCACGGCACCTGGTGCTTCCTTCGATCTCTCCTCTCCCATGGCAGGAAAGGTAATGAGCAAAGCCCCAGAGCCTGGGCCTACTGCAGTTCTTCCTCTCCCTGGCAGAGTCCCTGAGCCTCTGTGCTCCCACAGCCACCCTTTTCTGGGGCCCTCTGTCAAGGGGTGTTGGCTCTGGCTCTTCCTTTTAGAACACAAAGGTGCTAAATGAGCCTTGGGCTGTGCTGCCCCTTCCTCCCGGCTTACGTCTGCTGGGTCATAGATGCTGTCGGGGATGAGAAACAGGCCCACCAGGCTGAGCGTTATCTTCAGGAAGGCGTATTGGAAAGGACCCAGCATCAGCAGCTGAAGCTTCTTCCTGTGCGGGGAAGAGGGTTAGGAACACAGGCCGCAAACCAGCTGTCCCAGGAAGACCCCCCCGCTCCTCACTGGGCTCCTGCGCCGAGGCTTGGCTGCCACCATAAACACCAACCAGGTTAAGTGGGTGGGGACGGAGGAAAAAACCAGAATGTTGAGAGTGCTGGGAACCCTCTTAGTCTTGCGCTCACCTCCAGACCAGAATGCTGTCTTTGGAGCGAGGTCTGGGAATGTGACCTCAACCTCATTCACCAAAGTGGGCAGAAGGGGCAAGCAAGCGAATGGCCCAAGTCCAGTTTTCTCTGTGTGGCTAAGGCTTGCAGGGTGCAGTTAAGTTCAGTGATGAGAATTTAGGAGCTCTCTTTCCTCTGCTCCCCTGTCCCCTGAGGTTGGTGCCCCTAAGTCCTAGCTGTGGGATGCCCACCCTTCCGTCACTAGCTTTGGCCCATTCACGCCTAATTCCCAGAGCCTTGAAGAGGGCTAGGGGGCCAGAAGAGGCTCCCCAGCTCCTGGAGGAGGCACCTTGGCCCTGCCTCACCTGGTGAGCAGCAGCCGCGGACAGCAGGGGCAGCAGCAGCAGCAGGGGCCTGTGTGGACCATCATCGGGGTGTCCCTCAGCGTCCTCAGCACTGCCTCCTTTCCCCCAAAGCCTTCCACCATGACCAGCATCAGCAGGTAAAAGCACACGGCATAAAACCTGGGGTGGGGAGAGAAGGGGGCCTACAAGGTGGGGGCACGCTGCAGGGTCACCCCTTTGCTGCCGGAGGGAAAGACGGCAGGGACAGGCGGGGCTCACCGAGGGGAAGAGGTAGGGCTGGGCATTCTGGGTGTGTTCCCCAAGAGGAGCGAGGGAGAGGAGACAGGACAGGACTGGGAGAGGGGGAATTTCAGACTGTGGGAACAAAGGGCTGGCTGAGGAATGTGCCAGATGTGAAAGCGAGGCATTCCCTGAGCAGAACCAGGAGTGCAAGATCCCCGAACTAGCACAGTTTGGGAAGGGCCAGGCTCATGGTCAGCTGGGATCAAGGACACGGACTCTGGAGTCCTGGTGAGCGGGAGCAGAGGGGCCCTCGGAGGGGGAGTGAGGCAGGACACTCACGAGGCGATGGCCATTTCCACCAGAAACAGGGAACGAGGGATCCAGAGACCAAAGCAGCAGAACACAGACACCACCTGTTGAGAAGGGGCAGGAGCAGGTGAGGGCGGGAGGGAGACCGCTGAGGCTCCTGAAACCTTTCGTGGCACCGGCACAGAAGGCAAAACCTATACATTTAGGCAGCGTTCCTTAAACGTTGCCAGCCGGAAGAAGGACTAATTAAATCAAGCAAACCAAGGACCTGTGTAATGGCTGTGGGAAGGCGTTTCAAACGCCTCGACATAAGGATGGAGCTGAGTGTGACCCCGTGGAATGAGACTTCCCCACACGGGAACCACGGCCTGCCTCTACAGGAAGGAAGCTCTTTTAATAGCAATACTGTGGCAGGGAGCAGTGAGTGAGGCCGCTGGTGGGCTGAGCAGGTCTCCAGCTGTCTCCGCAGCCCTTAGAATTCAAACACTGCATCCCACAGCCTTCCAAGCGGAGGATCCTTACTGCAAGGGGAGGTCGGATTGCAAACCTCCGTCCTCAGCGGGCAGTGGCAGGAAACTCTTCGCGGAAGTGACTTGCTGAGTTTAGAGGAATTCTGACATTGGTCTCTGCCTCCGTTTCAGTTCCCCCCGCAGGGCAGCCCCAGGGCCTCACCGTGGGTGCCGAGCTATTCCAGAGCAGAGTCCGCCTCTTGATGGGGCAACGGGTGTTCTTGTACAGGTAGACGGCATCCTCCAGGAAGATGGCAATGGAGCCCAGCACCAGCAAGGTCATGATGCTGGTGAGGGCAAGTTCCACAGGGCCCAGGGCTAGAGGAAGAGACAGAGAGCTGACGACCAGGACTGAGCAGGAGAAGGTGTGGGCTTGTTCCCTCGGATCGAAGTGGCCTTACTGGATCTAGGCTCTCACCCGTGCACAGGAATGATGATTTTTTAGACTTTTTTTTTTTTTTTTTTAGATGGAGACTTGCTGTGTCACCCAGGCTGGAGTGCAGTGGTGCAAAATCGGCTCGCTGCAACCTCCGCCTCCCGGGTTTAAGCAATTCTCCTGCCTCAGCCTGCCAAGTATCTGGGGTTACAGATGCCCACCACTATACCCGGCTAATTTTTGTATTTTTAGTAGAGATGGTTTTCTCCATGTTGGCCAGGATGGTCCCGAACTCCTGACCTCAAGTGATCCACTCGCCTCGGCCCCACAAAGTGCTGGGATTACAGGCCTGAGCCCCCGCGCCTGACCCCAATTCACTTTTCCATCTCCAGTGCCAGGTGTTACACTGGCAAATGTAGATCAATTAACATAATTGAAGCAGAATGTAATTTATGGGACATTCTGGAGCTGTTTTAAGTTGATTTCGCCATAATTATATGGTGAAACCAAGACATCAGGAGGGTACTTTTTTGTGGGGAGGACAGGGTCTCACTCTGCCACCCAGATTGGAGGGCAGTGGTGCGATCATAGCTCACTGCAACCTTGACCTTCCGGGTTCAAACCATCCTCCAACCTCAGCCTCCCAAGTAGCCTGGGACTACAGGGGTGCACCACCACCACGGCCGGCTAATTTTTATGATTTTCTGTAGAGACGGGGTCTCACTACGTTGCCCAGACTGGTCTCAAACTCCTGGGCTTAAGCAGTCCTCCCACCTTGGCCTCCCAAAGTGCTGGGATTACAGGTGTGAGCCACCACACTAGACCAGGGGGAACTTCAACAAAAGAGAAATGGATACAAATAAAAACCCCAAGGACACCTGACCCAAGCTGGCCTCATGCTTGGTCTTACATGAAATATAGTCCATTGGTTCTCAAACTTTCATGGATATTGCAATCATTTTGGGAGCTGTTAAAAAGCAGCTAGCTGGCCGGGCGCGGTGGCTCATACCTGTAATCCCAGCACTCAGGGAGGCCGGGCGCGGTGGCTCACGCCTGTAATCCCAGCACTCAGGGAGGCCGGGCGTGGTGGCTCACACCTGTGGTCCCAGCACTCAGGGAGGCTGGGAGGCCGGGTGTGGTGGCTCACGCCTGTAATCCCAGTACCAGGGGGAGGCCGGGCGCTGTGCCTCACGCCTGTAATCCCAGCACTCAGGAGGCCGGGCGCGGTGGCTCACGCCTGTAATCCCAGCACTAGGAGGCCGGGCGCGGTGGCTCACGCCTGTAATCCCAGCACTCAGGGAGGCCGGGCGCGGTGGCTCACGCCTGTAATCCCAGCACTCAGGGAGGCCGGGCGCGGTGGCTCACGCCTGTAATCCCAGCACTCAGGAGGCCGGGCGCTGTGCCTCACGCCTGTAATCCCAGCACTCAGGAGGCCGGGTGTGGTGGCTCACACCGTGGTCCCAGCACTCAGGAGGCCGGGCGCGGTGCCTCACGCCTGTAATCCCAGCACTCAGGGAGGCCGGGCGCGGTGGCTCACGCCTGTAATCCCAGCACTCAGGGAGGCCGGGCGTGGTGGCTCACACCTGTGGTCCCAGCACTCAGGGAGGCTGGGCGTGGTGGCTCACGCCTGTGGTCCCAGCACTCAGGGAGGCTGGGCGTGGTGGCTCACACCTGTGGTCCCAGCACTCAGGGAGGCTGGGCGTGGTGGCTCACACCTGTGGTCCCAGCACTTCGGGAAGCTGAGGTAGGCAGATCACTTGAGGCCGGGAGTCCAAGACCAGCCTGGCCAACACAGCAAAACCCCACCTCTACTAAAAACACAGAAATTAGCCGGGTGTGGTGCTGCCTGCCTGTGGTCCCAGCTACTCGGGGAGAGGTGGAGGATGCAGTGAGCCAAGATCACACCACTGCCCTCCAGCCCGGGTGACACAGCAAGACCCTGTCTCAAACAAACAAACAAAAAACAACAAGAGGAGGAAAATGTCTATAATACTGAAAAAAGTTAGCAATGTTTATGTTTGGGTGATGGGACTACGGATGATTTGTGTCTTCTTTTCTATCTTCTTACTTTTTTCTATCTTTTCTGAGTATTCTTTTTTTTTTTTAAACAAATTTATTTTCTCACCGTTTTGGAGGCGAGAAGTTCAAGATCAGGGTGTCAGCAGGTTTGATTTCTCCTGAGGCCTCTCTGCTCCACTTGCAGACAACTCACCCCCCCTCCCCTCCCCTCCCCTTCTTTTCTTTCTTTCAACGAAATTTCACTTTGTCACCCAGGCTGGAGTGCAGTGGCCTGATCTCAGCTTACTGCACCCTCCACCTCCCAGGTTTAAGTGATTCTCCTGCCTCAGCCTTGCAAGTAGCTGGGTCTACAGGCACCTGCCCAGCTAGTGGAGACAGTTTTCGCCACGTTGGCCAGGCTGGTCTTGATCTCCTGACCTCAACTGGTCTGTCCGCCTCGGCCTCCCAAAGTGCTGCGATCACAGGCGTGAGCCTCCGCGCCCGGCCTAAACATTAACTAATAAACCATCACAGAGAAAGCCCATCGCTAACTGGGATCACAGGCGTGAACCTCCGCGCCCGGCCGACACCCACATTTCTACTGTGTCCTCACACGGCCTTTTCTCCGTGTGTGAAAATCCCTAGTGTCTTTCTTTTCCAATTATTCTATAATGAATATGTATCTTATAACAAAAATAAACGTTTTTTTGGAAAAGAACATATTTTTCCAAATATACAATGATGTGAAAAATTTATTTTGTGTCATGTTTACAAAAACAGAACATAAAATTATAGAAATAATATGATTTCTACAAACGTTAAATAAAAGCATAGAGAAAGGGCCAGGATTACAGGGCTCATGCCCTGTAATCTCAGCACTTTGGGAGGCCGAGGTGGGTGGATCACCTGAGGTCAGGAGTTCAAGACCAGCCTGGCCAACATGGTGGAACCCCATCTCTACCAAAAATACAAAATTAGCCAGGCGTGGTGGCGGGTGCCTGTAATCCCAGCTACTTTGAGAGGCTGAGGCAGAAGAATTGCTTGAACTGGGAGGTGGAGGTTGCAGTGAGCTGAGATCACACCACTGTACTCCAGCCTGGGCAACAGAGCCAGACTCTGTCTCAAAAAAAAAAAAAGGAAATTACACTAAGATATTTGTCGTGCCTGTCTCTGGGTGAGACTGTAGATGCTTTTTTCTCTTTTTACTGTTCTGTATTTTCTTTTTTTGTTAAACTAAACCTGAATGATTTTTATAATAGAAATGTTTAATTAAAAAAAATTCAGACAATAGGCAAAGTCCAGACAGGAAAAAGCCAAAATTAATGCAGGTGGTTTTCCAAAACCAACGTTCCATGGTTGGGAAAGCAGGGGCCATTGCTAGAGCCTCTCTTACCCCAGCCCCGTGTGCTCATCAGCCCTTGGAGAGCGTAAAAACTGCCTTCCTCATGCCCGCCAGGCCAGTCTTTCCCAGTCCTCATTTCCCTAACTGCCCCCTGCTCCGTGAAAACCTCCATTGCGGGTGACGTTTCGTCCTCCTTCCGCCCACATCAGGGCTGTTTGTATTTACATAGCTGTTTACTCGCGTATTGCCGGCTCTCCACCTTGTGGTGCAAACTCCACAGAGGCAGGGACCTTGTCAAACTTGTGCTCTGTTCTCAAATGCCTGGAGCAGTAACTGCTCTGTAACTATTTGTTGAATGAAAGCAATAGCCTGTGAGAGTTCCTGTCATCATCCCCATTTTATAGACTTTTTCAGGAAACGAGGCTCAGAGAAGGAAGCACCTCGCCCAGGGTCCCACAACCTGGAAGTGAAGGAGCGGAGATTGAAGCACAGGGAGAGCCCACACTCCTGTTAACCACGACACACAGTGACTCCAGGTGTGTGTACTCGTGGACGTGGGAGAGATTTTCAAGGCAACCTGGGAGGGCTGTTCCATTTATGAAGGCGAGGGTGGGGCAGATTTTGACTGTTCAACACAAAAGGTTTTGCAGTGTCTTCTAACTGTCGCCTTTGGTACTTTAATTAGGAAAGGAATAGTTCCTTAGCATCCATAGTCCGATACTGGGCCTGCCCATCAAACCGTCTTCTTAGGAGATGGCAGGAGATGACCTCTTCTTTTCTGGTTGAACTCAATTTCCCCCAAAGTGCATCTAAATGGATACTATGGGACAAAAGTATTCCACGGCTAAAGAATTTTTGGAAATGCATTAAAGTTAAATATGATGATTCCCACAGAGCATACTGAAATTTTTAATCTGCTAATTTACATTGTAAATTTCCAAAAGGAGGGTCTAGAATGCACCTTTTACAAAACTTAACTTTTTTTTTGAGATGGAATCTCACTCTGTCGCCAGGCTGGGGTGCAGTGGTGTGATCTCAGCTCACTGCCACCTCCGCCTCGTGGATTCAAGCAATTCTCCTGCCTCCGCCTCCCAAGTAGCTGGGATTACAGGTAACCACCACCATGCCCAGCTAATTTTTGTATTTTAAGTAGAGATAGGGTTTCGCCATGTTGGGCAGGCTGGTCTCGAACTCCTGAGCTCACATGATCCACCCGCCTTGGCCTCCCACAGTGCTGGGATTACAGGCATGAGCCACCGCGCCTGGTCACAAAACTTAGCTTCCTACAGAACTCTGTTTCCATGAAGGACTCCGTGGGGTTAAGTTTCTGAGACTTTGGGAAATGCTTGTCTGGCTGACCATTTTGAATATAATCATACTTACAGCAACTATTAAATTTCCCACTGTCTCTAGAATAACAAAGATTACTTTTTAAAAGAATGAAAACAGGAACATTAAATAAAAATTTGAAACAAGAGTAATCACCTGTAATCCCTGCTTTCTAACCAAAGATTATTTCCGTGATTGCATATCTGCTTCCCAGAGGTTAGGAGCACAGTATGGGGTGTTGGAGTCAGACACTTGAGTTCAAAGTAAAATGCCACTTACCAATAGCTCTATGACCATAGACAGTTACTTATCCTCTCCTTAAGCTTCTTAGCAAAGCACCTGGCGTGTAGTATTTGTTCAATAAAAAGTAGCTTTAAGGCTGGGCACAGTGGTTCACACCTGTAATCCCAGCACTTTAGGAGGCTGAGGCAAGAGGATTGCTCGAGCTGGGGAGTTTGAGATCAGCCTGGGCAACAAAGTGAGACTCTGTCTCTACAAAAATTAATAGTTAGCCCAGGCATGGTGGTGTGTGCCTACAGTCCCAGCTACTCGAGAGGATGAGGTGGGAGGATCACTTGAGCCCAGAGATCGAGCTGCAGTGAGCTGTGATTTAAAAAAAAAAAAAAATTGATTCAGTGGTTCTTCCAGAATAATAGCTTTCTCTCTCTCTCTCTTTATTTTTATTTTTTAAATTGAGACAGGGTTTCGGTCTGTTGCGAAGGCTGAGGCTGGTGGTACAATCATAGCTCACTGCAACCTCTACCTCCCGGGGTTGCAGCATGGCCCATCATGACTGGCCTGAAATAGTTTTCTTAGCATTTAATTTTAAGTTCGAGACCAGCCTGGGTAACACGGAGAAACTCCATCTCTACAAAAAAAACCACAAAAATTAGCCGGGCTTGGTGGCAAGTGCCTGTGGTCCCAGCTACTTGGGAGGATTACCTGAGCCCAGCAGGTGGAGGGTTGGAGTAAGCCAAGCTCGCACCACTGCCCTCCAGCCTGGGTGACAGAGTGAGACCCTGTCTCAAAAAAAAAAAAAAAAAAAAAAAAAAGGAACAACAGAGTTTACGAATGAAGTGAGGAGGTTTTGCCACATCCTCCCAGAGGCACATCTTCCTTTTCTGTCTGTGCCATCGCCATTGCCCAGAACTAGCACTTACACACCTAGGTCTTTACCAGATTGCCTGCTCTTTCTTTGAATTGCCTGTTTGCCACACTTCCTCTTCTCTCCCTGCCGCTGCCCTGCCTCAGACTGTTTTCCCGCATGCCGGGCCAGGGCAACAACCTCTCATTTGCATCCCTGCCTATTTCCTGCTGTTGCTGAGATGGAGTCTTGTTCTGTCGCCCAGGCTGGAGTGCAGTGGTGTGATCTCTGCTCACTGCAAGCTCCACCTCCCAGGTTCAAGCGATTCTCCTGCCTCAGCCTCCTGAGTAGCTGGGATTACAGGCACCCGCCACCATGCCTGGCTAATTTTTGTATTTTCAGTAGAGATGAGGTTTCACCATCTTGGCCAGGCTGATCTTGAACTCGACCTCAAATGATCCACCCGCGTCAGTCTCCCAAAGTGCTGGGATTACAGGCACGAGCCACCGCGCCCAGCCACATCCCTGCTTCTTAAGGCTCTTCCTATGCTGTCCATCCTGATTACTAATTAATGGCCGTGAAGCACTACTTTCATCCAGCCACTCCCAGTCTCAGAGCCCTCAGCAGCTCCTTCTCTCTGCGGGATAAAGTACAGCTCCTCTGCCAGCCCAGCGGGCATCAGGCCTCACCTCACCTGCCGAGCCCTCTCAATTGTCCCGGGTTCTTCCACCAGGATCCTTGAATCCTGCCAGGCCTCACTCCACTGGGCCTGGGGCACCCCCGACTCATCCTCTCAGCTTCCCTGTCCCGGAGGGAGGGCCGCTGGCCAAATCCTCCTGACTCTGCCTGCAGCAGGGCTTGCTGGACTAGCAGACTCAGCATGGCCTGTTCTGAGCAGCCTCGGGGTTTCTATTTGCACATGTTGCAGGAAAGCAATGTGAGAACCGTTCTCATTGTGTGAGACAAGGTTTCTCAACCTGAGCGCTGTTGACACTTTGGCCCGAATAATCTTTTTTGTGGGGGCTTTTCCTGTGTACTGTAGGAAGTTTAGCAGCTTTCCTGGCCTCTGACCATGAGGTGCCAGTAGCACCTTCCAGTGTGGCACGGGAACAGTCTCCGGACACTGCCAAGTGTTCCCTGCGGGGAGAGCTGCTGTGTAAGGGAAGGCTTGTACCGCCAGCTGCACTGTCTGAACAGGAGGTTCCTGCAACTGGATGTAGCAGCCACCTGCTGCCACAGACCACACAGTGGCCACCAGGCATCTCCAGACACTCTGACAGCTGGCGGCCGCTCTGGTTCAGATCATCTGAAATGAAGCCATACACAGCCCAAGGACAACCCACATCTGCATACCGAGAGCTTCCTGTTGCCTGGCAAATGCATTAAATGTGCTACAGAGACATCGACTTCTCTCCAGCAGTTCACAGGTAGTCAATATGCAGCAGGAAAACAAAATAAAATGCAGGCGTGAGCCCCATTTTCTCTAAGCGTGCTCGGGCCGTGATTCTCAATGTTTCTGGTGTCCAGGAAATAAGCTGAGCCCCATCCTATGCCTTTCACTTTTCTCACTTTTTCTTTTCTGTTTTCTTCTTTTTTTTTAGTTTTGAGACGTAGTCTCACTCACTGTCACCCAGGCTGGAGTGCAATGGCGTGATCTCGGCTCACTGCAACCTCCACCTCCCAAATTCAAGTGACTCTCCTGCCTCAGCCTCCTGAGTAGCTGGGACAGGTGCCCGCCACCACGCCCGGCTAATTTCTGTATTTTTAGTGGAGACCGGGGTTTCACTGTGTTGGCCAGGCTGGTCTCAAACTCCTGACCTCAGGTGATCAGCTCACCTTGGCCTCCCAAAGTGCTGGGATCACAGGTGGGAGCCCACTGCGTCTGGCCAATGCCTTTCACTATTTTTTTTTTTTTTCCTGAGACGGAGTCTCGCTCTGTCACTCAGGCTGGAGTGCAGTGGTGCAATCTCAGCTCACTGCAACCTCCACTCCCGGGTTCAAGAGATTCTCCTACCTCAGCCTCCCGAGTAGCTGGGACTACAGGCTTACTCTACCATGCTTGGCCACCTTTTGTATTTTTAGTAGTAGAGACAGGGTTTTCACCATGTTGGCCAGGTGGGTGTCAAACTTCTGGCTTCAAGGGATCTGCCCACCTCGGCCTCCCCAAGTGCTGGGATTACAGGCGTGACCCACTGTGCCCAGCCAATGCCTTTCACTTTGAAAAGTAATTCAGTAACAGAATCTTGTTGACCAACACTGAGAGGACGCTTTTGCAGGTTCACCTATTTTTTTTTTTTAATTATTGTTTTATTCGAAAAAGTGCTTCTTGCAAAAGGGAAGCTGCAAAACAGAGACCTCTGCAACAACTACTTGTTTTTTCTTAAAGTGAAAGAATGGGTGGGATCCAAGGGATCAAAGTGGTAGACAGACGACCAGGAGCACCCCAAGTTATTTTCAGGAAACTGTGACAAAATGCAAAGGTAAAATTTCCAGTCAAGGAATTCTTCCAACAACTGAACTTGAGCTCGTCTCGGGGATCCCCACACCCTCCCCTTCAGTGGAAAAGTGTGACTTATTATTGCAACCCAATTACTCCACTACAATAAACACATCTGTCTACCTGAAAGCTCCGGGGTGGAATGAGGCAAATACCCACAAACACACACACACACACAAACCCAACAACAGAATGCCCCAGTGAGGAGAAGGGGTTTTTGGAAAAGCCTGGATCCTTTTCAGAAAGGAGGCTGGATCATAAAACAAATCCAGCTGGTTCACCTCTGTGAAGTGCGTCACCCACAGTAACCACCCTCTAGAATGCCATGCGTCCCGGGCGGATGCTGTGCAGGCCTCCAGGAGACCCGATGGGGCCTGGACCACTTGGGCACCACCTTGAGTCCCCAGATGGCGCTGGAGTCTGAAAACACGCCCCAGGTCGCGGTGCCCCAGTGTGAATGAGCTCTGAGGCCAGGTTTGTGGAGGCCCAACATGAGGGTTGCTCTCCAGAGCCAGGCTCTCGTGCTGCCCTTTTGCCCCACTGACTCCTTGAGGCATTGCCCTTCCCCAAGGCCTTAACCACGATGACGGACAGTGGGCCAGTTATTCTTCCCGGATGCCCAGGTGGACCAGCTCAGGGCCGCCTCTCCCCAGCTCCACTCAGCAATCCTGGTTTCCGTCCTCTCCGTTCCCTCTGGCGAGGGTCCCCACTCACCTCTCAGGAGCTGGGCTGCTGTGGGTGGATGAGAGAAGCAGGCGGAGGGGATGCCGTAATTGGTCTTCAGCACCTCCAGAAGATCTGCTGTGTATCTGGCGAGACACCAGCCTGTGCTCAGAACCGTGGGGGCTAGGGGAAGGGGGAGGGGTGCATACTGGACCCTCAACCACTCCTGAGCACAGGACTTTGTCTGTTGCCCTCAGGGCCTCTTTCTCTCTCTCTCTTCCTTCCCTCCCTCCCTCCTTTCCTTCCTTCCTTTCTTTCTTTTTTTTTCTTTTTGAGACAGGGTCTTGCTCTGTTGCCCAGGCTGGAGTGCAGTGGTGTGTCCTGGCTCACACAAGCAGCCTTGACCTCCCGGGCTCAAGTGATCTATTCGGCCCCCGTCCCCACGGAGTAAGCTGGGACTACAGGTGCACGCCACCACACCCAACTAATTTTGTATATTTTTGGTAGAGACAGGATTTCGCCATGTTGCTCAGACACTAGTCTCGAACTCCTGGACTCAAACTGGAACTGGGCTTGAACTCCTGGACTCCTGCCTCAGCCTCTCAAAGTGCTGGGATTACAGGTGCGCGGCCTCAGGGCCGTTTTCTTAGAGGGAGTGGAGAACTGGCCCAGGCAGGGGAGTAAGACAAGCTGCTACCTAGCTGGGGCGTGCCTGGCTGCAGTGCCTGAAGAGCCCACCGTGATTCTCTCCATGCTGGTCGGACTGCAGCCCAGGGACTGACCACTGACCAGAGAGGAAGAGCAGGATCCCAGAGGAAGGGTGAGTCCTTGCAGAGGGACGGCCCCTGCTGCTGAGGGGCGCTGCCACTTCCTCTGGGAATGCCTTCCACAGCCCCTGCTCTGGGATCTTTCTCTCCCCACGGTGGGGGGCAAGGCCAAGGCCCTGAAGTGTCACACCCTGGCCCAAACCCACGTTGTCCCTGAGGACCTAGGAACAGCCAGACCATTTTCAGTCCTGTCTCTGTGAGTGTGGCAGCCAAAGGGCTCTGGGAGGGAGAGAGGACAGGAGCGGGGACAGGCGCCGCCGCTGCTTAGCAACTGGCCCAGGGCCCGCCACCCTCACTTACCTGGGGTCAAGCTTTATCTGGGTCCTGCACGGCTCCATGCCGCTTTCTCTCCAGCAATCCCGCAGGCACCTCGGGTGAGGAAGGGCAGGCGGGGCGGGCAGGTGTGGGCCCGGGGCCGGGCAGGGGCCAGCGGAGTTCCAGAGTCTTTCCCTCTGCCGCTGTCCCTCCTTGAGCTTCCTGGGCCAACTTTTCTATCTCAGAGTTCACCCTGGAGGAATTTGATCCTCGAGGCTGGCGAAGTTCCCTGTACCTGACTCATCCCTGCCCCCAGGCGTGGTCCCTCCCACCTCTTGGACAGGTGCCTTTGGCCACCCCTTGCCCCTGGCCCGGCCCATCCTATAGGAGTTTTGTGGCGAGTCCACCCTGCCCTTCCAGGAACCTTCTGGGGTGGGGTGGGCTCACCACAAAGCTCCTGCCCTGGGTGGGGGTGGGGACGAAGTCCTCACTCCTCACCGCAGTGCTCCCTGGTCAGATGCCCCTGAAGAACCTGCTGGAACTCAGGCTCCGGCACTCCGCAGTGGGGAGACTCAGGCTGAGTCCTCAGCTGTGTTTGGCGCTGTCCGCCTGATGTGTGGAAGGGAGGACAGGCTGGAAAAGCCAGATGAGGCCGGTGTGGGTTCCCAAACCCCAGTTCATCACATCTGGACGATGGGCTCAGCCAGCCGCACGCGGGGCCGGAAGATGCAGCCGAGTGGAGGCTGTGCCTGAGAGTCCGAGTTGCAAAGTGAGATTGCTGGGCATTTTGACAGGTCTTGAAAACCTGCTGAATTATAGGCTTGCAAACAATTTTATTGGTTGATAGCTTCCCTTTTCTCTCTCTCCAAACAGATTGAAATCTCTTTGAAGGCAGACACAGCATCTTGTACTGTGGCACGCTGGTACCTCTAGGTTCCTGGCACGGAAGCTGACACATACAAAGGGTTCCTTAGAATTTGGTTGCATAGTTGATGAAAGCATAAACCCAGAGCAGCAGCAGCCAGCATCCGTCAGCATGTCTGGGGTGCCAGGGGGCTTCGCTCATTTAGACTTTACCACCGCATTACAAGGGAAGTAGTATCCTTATTCCCATTTCACAGATAAGGAGGCTGAGGTCCAGAGAGGTTAAGAAACCAGGTTGGACAGAAAGCCATGGGGTGTGGAGAACGGCCAAAAGGGCCTGGGGGAGGGGCTGTGTTGGGGCCTGGTGGAGATGGTAGGAAGTGAGAAGAGGGCCCAGAGGAGGGTGCAGAGGGTCAATTCTGGGAAGGGAGAAGGGGCTCCCTGTGCCAGGCTGGTGAGGCCGTACAAGCAGGGAAGCGGCCCCTGATGGGGTACCCGGAGGACTCCCCACTCCTGTCCCCAAACGCCTCAAAGTCTCTCCCAAGAGTCAAGCTGGGTCCTCCTCCAGTTTCCCCTCCTCCTAAAGTCCAGTTCCTGGGACAGGACAATGTCGTGAGGCCGGCGTCTCAGGGGCCAGCTGCCTCTAAGGTGGAGGTCAGGGAAGGAAGAGGCCGCCAAGGTCCCTGACCCCCAGAGGGTCACTGGCCTCAGCCCCACCCTGACAAAGACGCAGACTGACTCAGCTTCCTCCCAGCATCTCTCCAGGAACGTTCGCCAGGTCATTTACCCTGAGCCCACTGGAGGCCTTGGGTTTAATTACCCAAAGCCCTGAACTTTAGACTTCCCAGAGCTGACAACAGGGCGCTGGGGATGTTCTTAGAAACTTCAACTTCAGGACACAGTGGGGAATGGCGGGAAAGGCGGAAGGGCAGGAGGGAGCCAGAGGGACTGAGGTTGGACTGAGACTGGTGCTTGCCCGCCGGGCACCCCAGGAGAGACCGACCGGCAGGGCGTCCGTGAGGGGAGGGGGCTTCTGCCCCACCCAAGGTCTCTAGGGGGCTGTCTTCTGTACAGTGTGGCCCAGGATCCAACCAGTGGGAGGCCCTGCCTGGAGGCCGGCCCATCCCCAGCTTGGCTTGGTCAGAGAGGACGAGCTGTGGCCGCCAGGGTCTTCTCTTGGCAGTTGAGGCCTGCCAGCTGTCAGAAACTGACTTTTTAGAACCACGAAGAATAAATCCTTCTGATTTCCCCTTCTTTGGCCTATTTTTTCCCACGAAATTATATGAGAGCATCATCTGACGCTTACTGAGACAGAGGAGGGTCTTGGCTCCCAACCCCGCTAGTGCGTTCCTCCCCCCAACCTTTTTCTTTCTTCTTTTTTTTTCTTACCTGCTCATCACAAGACAGTGAAAAAATTAAGATAAGCAGCATTTCACTATAAATCTTTTGCAAAATGCCATATCCACTGATCACAGGACCTTGAAAAAATGCAGATAGGCAGTATCCTGCTTTAAATCTTATGCTTCAGGGAGTGAACTCCATTGCCTCTGTGTGCTCAAAACCAGAAGAACGACCATCTTTACCCTTGGCCTCATTACAAGACCAAAATCTCTGCCCCCGCGCGGTGGCTCACCCCGTAATCCCAGCACTTTGGGAGGCCGAAGCAGATGGATCACCTGAGGTAAGGCATTTGAGACCAGCCTGGCCAACAAGGTGAAACTCCGTATATACTAAAAATACAAACATTAGCTGGGTGTGGTGGCAGGTGCCTGTAATCCCAGCTACTCAGGAGGCTGAGGCAGGAGAATCACTTGAACCTGGGAGGCGGAGGTTGCAGTGAGCCGAGATGGTGCCATCGCACTCCAGCCTGGGTGACAGAAAAAAAACAAAAACAAAAACAAAAGCCTCTGCCAGGGAGAGGCTTGCTCGTCGTGTTCTGATGCTGCGATGTACGTGTTACCGCGATTCCTTATCCCTGTGCGTTCTGCACGCCACTCCTGCAGGAACGCTCACCTACCTCCTGAATTACCCGTGTCGCCCTCCTCAGGCCCAAGACACCACAATGCGCTCCTCTGGGGGGCCAGCCGGAGAACTCTCCCTGCAGTGCTGTCTCCCCCGTGGTGGAACAAAAGCCCCTAATAAAGCCTCGTCTGGGAAATTTGCTTGGCCTCATGCCGATTTTTATTGGAACCTGAAGAACTTGTGGTCAGTAGCAGGCTTACTTCAGTTATCACTTAAGTTTTGGTTTCCTTAATGTGAGGGTCAGTTTTGAAAAATCAAAAAAGAGGCTGGGTGCAGTGGCTCACACCTGTAATCCCAGCACTTTGGGAGGCCAAGGCAGGTGGCTCACTTAAGGTCAGGAATTCGAGACCAGCCTGACCAACATGGCGAAACCCCATCTCTTAAAAATACAAAAATTAGGCCGAGTGCAGTGGCTCACACCTGTAATCCCAGTACTTTGGGAGGCTGAGGTGGGTGGATCACCTGAGGTCAGGAGTTCGAGACCAGGCTGGCCAACCTGGCGAAACCCCATCTGTACTAAAAATACAAAAAAAAAAAAAAAAAAAAAAAAAAGGCCGGGTGTGGTGGCTCATGCTTGTAATCCCTGCACTTTGGGAGGCCGAGGTGGGCGGATCACGAGGTCAGGAGATCGAGACCACAGTGAAACCCCGTCTCTACTAAAAATACAAAAATTAGCCGGGCGTGGTGGCGGCGCCTGTGGTCCCAGCTACTCGGGAGGCTGAGGCAGGAGAATGGCGTGAGCTAAGATGGTGCCACTGCACTCCAGCCTGGCTGACAGAGTGAGACTCGGTCTCAAGACAACAACAACAACCACCAACCACCCTCGTATCTTCCAGTTCCCCCTCCTCCCACACGCTGGCAGCTGCGAATCTGCTTTTGATCTCTATGGATCTGGCGACTCTGGATAGTTCATGTAAGTGGAACAATATGTGGCTTTTCGTGCTGAGCTTCTTCCATTTCGCACAATCTTTTCTTTTCTTTTTTTGTGTTTTTGAGACGGAGTTTCGCTCTTGTTTCCTAGGCTGGAGTGCAATGGTGAGATCTCGGCTCACTGCAACCTCCACCTCCCAGGTTCAAGCGATTCTCGTGCCTCAGCCTCCCGAGTAGCTGGGATTACAGGTGCCCGCCAGCTCGCCTGGCTAATTTTTGTATTTTTAGTAGAGATGTTGCAGGAAACTGAGGACTGGCAAGGCTGATATGGAGACCAAGAGGATTGTTTATTTTAGGTACGCACTGGCTTAGTGGATTCGCATCTAAGAAGCTGAACATTAAACAAAGACAGAGCGGGGTTTTTACAAGCAGACTTACAATAAATAAAATAAAGGTGGTTAATCATATGATAGGTCTCATAATCTATAGCATCACTTGGGGCCTTGCGTAGCCGGTGGCTTTGTAGCTGCATTGAAAGAAAAACAAGAACTGGCTAAATACAGACATTTGTAAAACATAATCATGCTTAAGACACCTGGGAAAGGAGTAACAGTAAAAGAATTTGTCTTGGCCGGGCGCGGTGGCTCAAGCCTGTAATCCCAGCACTTTGGGAGGCCGAGACGGGCGGATCACGAGGTCAGGAGATTGAGACCATCCTGGCTAACGCGGTGAAACCCCGTCTCTACTAAAAAATACAAAAAACTAGCCGGGTGAGGTGGCGGGCGCCTGTAGTCCCAGCTACTCGGGAGGCTGAGGCAGGAGAATGGCGTAAACCTGGGAGGCGGAGCTTGCAGTGAGCTGAGATCCAGCCACCGCACTCCAGTCTGGGCGACAGAGTGAGACTCCGTCTCAACAAAAAAAAAAAAAAAAAAAAAAAAAAAGAATTTGTCTTTCTTTTTTCTTCTTCAGCTTTGCTCTGGAGGGGTGGGGTGTCTGGAGCGTATTCTTTCGGCCTTGGCTTTCTGGACAGCGTTATCTTGAAGTGAGCGTGCTAGGCAGAGGAAAACTCGTTCTTTTCTTTTGAACTTTCGCCTTGCTTGTTACTTTTCTTGGAGTGAATGAATGCCTATTTATTTTTAAATGTCTGCCTCAGTTTCTTCTTTTTGAGGCCTTTTATAAAAGAAGTTTAATATGGCTCACACCTGTAATCCCAGCACTTTGGGAGGCCGAGGCGGGTGGATCACCTGAGGTCAGGAGTTCGAGACCAGCCTGGACAACATGACAAAACCCCGTCTCTACCACAAAATACAAAATTAGCCAGGCATGGTGGCACATGCCTATAATCCCAGCTACTCTGGAGGCTGAGAAGGAGAATCGCTTGAACCTGGGAGGCAGAGGTTGCGGTGAGCCGAGATCGCGCCCCTGCACTCCAGCCTGGGCAACAAGAGTGAAACTGTCTCAAAAAAACCCAAAACAAAACAAACAAAAAAGAACCCAACAAAAAAACCTAGCAATTTTCTTTCTTTCTTTTCTTTTTTTTTTTTTTTATTTGAGATGGAGTTGACTCTGTCGCCCAGGCTGGAGTGCAATGGCACGATCTCGGCTCACTGCAACATCTACCTTCCAGGTTCAAGTGATTCTCCTGCCTCAGCCTCCCGAGTAACTGGGACTACAGGCGGGCATCACCACTCCTGGCTAGTTTTCTATTTTTAGTGGAGACGGAGTTTCACCATGTTGGCCAGGCTGGTCTCAAACTCCTGACCTCAAGTGATCCACCCACCTTGGCCTCCCAAAGTGCTGGGATTACAAGGATTACAACACCCGGCTGAAAATGACCAACTTTCTTCCTATGTGTTTCTCCAAGGTCATATTTTCTCCAACAACATCAGCCTGTCAGGGGCAGGGCCTCTCGGTTCCCCAGCACGTGTAGGGGAGGGGTTTGCTGCTGGAAGTGCCTGTCACCGGAGGCAGCCACAGAAAACTGCAGACAGTTCTGCTGAAGGCCCCCAGCCTCTGTGATGTCACACTGGGCCTTCTTTCCCTTCATCCTGGGCTGTGGCTCTGAGGCCGCTGTGGCCATGGAGCTCTGGAAGCTGGGCTGGGGGAGGAAGCCTGGTGGTTCTGACCGCCCCTGGAGGTGCAGGAGGCCCAACCATGACACTCTTAATGGATGTCACGCCCCAGGTGAAGAAGGTCTATCCCCTGCCTCTGGTCCCACGTCCCTGGGTCCTCTCCAGCCTGTTTGCTGCCTTCAATGTGGTGCTGCTGCTCTTTTTCAGTGGCCTCTTCTTCGCATTCCCGTGAGTTTCCCAGGCAAGGCGTTAGGTTTCCTACAAAGTGACAGCCAGGGAAACAGAATATGATAGGATGGAGGCAGGGGAGTGCAGAAGACGGCGGGGAGAATCAGGGAAAGGGGGATATTCTGGTCTAGGGAACCGATGTGCTAAGGCACAGAGGTCAAGGGTGCCTGTGCATTTTGGGAGCTTTGGGTGGCTGGTTGTGCTGGTGACATTTGGTGGAGCCATTATGAATCTGCCCGGGTATTTGGAGCCTGGATTTTTAGATCTGGCTTTAAGGTCTGTGGGTCCTGACCTAAGTAAGCCAGGCCCTGGGCGGGGGGCTTTGGGCTGCCCCTGCTCGGGACCGAGCCTGCCTCTGGTCTCAGTTGCAGGTGGCTGGCTCAGAACGGGGAGTGGGTCTTTCCCATCATCACAGGCCCCCTCTTTGCTCTCACCTTCTTCAGTCTCGTTTCACTCAACTTCTCAGACCCTGGCATCTTACATCAAGGTGAGGCATCAGCCCCCCTGGGAAAAGGAGGTGGCACCCCAAGGGCTGGGAACCTGCAGGGGATTCCTAAACTGCTCTTCCTACCGCCCCTCCTCCAGCCTCTGGACCCCTTCACCCCACGTCTTCATTACTGTGGCCCTAGCTCCTTCCCTTCCCTTCCCTTCCCTCCCCCTCCCCTCCCCTCCCCTCCCCTTCCTTTCCTTTCTTCTTTCTTTCTGTCTTTTCTTTTCTTTTTTTTTGAGATAGAGTCTCTCTCTGCTGCCCAGGCTGGAGTGCCGTGGTGCGATCTCAGCTCACTGCAACCTCTGCCTCTCAGGTTCAAGCGATTCTTCTGCCTCAGCCTCCCGAGTAGCTGGGATTACCGGAGCATGCCACCACGCCCAGCTAATTTTTTGTAATTTTAGTAGAGACGGGGGTTTCACCATATTGGCCAGGCTGGTCTCAAACTCCTGACCTCATGAACAGCCCACCTCGCCTCCCAAAGTGCTGGGATTACAGGCGTGAGCCACTGTGCCCGGCCCTACCCCACTTCTTAGGCCACCACGGTGTAGAAAAAGAGAAGTGTTGTGTTTTCCCGGTTGCCTCAGATGCAAGGACTGGGCAGGCCAGGGCCAGAAGTCAGTGGGCTCTTCCAAACCACCGTTTGTACTTCCTCCCTTCACTACACAATGCCACTTAGAGCAGCACTCGCTGTTCCAAACGCCTGAGTTTCATACAAAACTCTCCTGGCTGGAAACCTGTCTTCCCTTTGCCATCCTCTCTGAGCTTGGACAGCTTGCTCAGGGGCAGGGGTTCCCCTGCCCACCTCGTCCCCACCCTTCTCGTGCCCCGTGATGCCTCGGAGTGACCGCAGGGCCTTCTGCTGTGCCCCATCCTCTTCCCACGCCAGGCTCCGCTGAGCAGGGCCCCTTGACGGTGCACGTGGTGTGGGTGAACCACGGGGCCTTCCGCCTGCAGTGGTGCCCGAAGTGCTGCTTCCATCGCCCGCCCCGGACCTACCACTGCCCCTGGTGCAACATCTGTGTGGAGGTGAGAGCCCCTCTACCTGTCCACCAGCCGTCGCCCCACATCTAGCTGGGACCAGGAGCCTCCCTCATACAGGGGCCAGGGCTGGGCGTGAAGCTGCCTTTCAGGACTGCTAAAGGCCAAGGGTGACAGTACCTCCCAGCCACTCTTGGTCACTCATGTGCTTCCCGCCTGCACCTGTCCTGGGAGGCTGGCCATTGCCTGCAGAGGTGCTGATATGCACAGGCCATCCACATCTGTCCTGGGCTGGGTCAGGCCAGGGGAGGAGAGGTAGCCCTCTGTCCCACCCCTGGGCTTGCTAACACGAGATACTCAAGCCCCTCAGGCTGGCTACCCGCCTGGTCTGGAAGGCCTTGCCTGTGCTTGCCTGGGTGTCCAAGGTGGAGGGTCTCCTGGCTCTGAGTGACCATCCCTCTCGTGAGCACGGCCTGCATAGGTTTACAAGTGCAGGAGGCTGGCTGGGCCAGGGTGTTACTGTCACATTCATGGAATGGATGAGAAAGTGGAGGCCCAGAGACGGTTTCCGTTCTGCCCAAAGTTCCAGTAGGATGCATCTCACAGAAGGCCAGGCCAGCCTTTTCTCTAAAGGTCTTCTGACAGGTGACCTTTATACCCCAGAGACCCAACTGTGCTCTAACGAGGGAAATGGCAGCACGAGGCATCCTGTGGCTCAGTTTCTCCCTACAGGTGGAAGCCAGTGCATGGGCCAAGGGCAGGTGGCCTAGAGGGCAGGGGGAAGGCCTCAGGATTCGGGGTGATGGAAGTTGGGCCGGAGGGGAAGCCCTCAAGCCTGGCCCCTCTCCCTGTCGCCCAGGACTTTGACCACCACTGCAAGTGGGTCAACAACTGCATCGGTCACCGCAATTTCCGCTTCTTCATGCTGCTCGTCCTGTCCCTGTGCCTCTACTCAGGCGCCCTGCTGGTCACCTGTCTCATCTTCCTGGTGCGCACGACCCACCTACCCTTCTCCACGGACAAGGCCATCTCGTATCCGCCCACGTGGGGAAGGAGAGGGAGGAGGCGGGGCCAGCCAAGGAGGGGTTGCAGAGGGCGGGGCTATGGGGGCGGGGCCAGAGGGAGAAGCCGCCTGGGAGGACCAGTCTGGGACGAGGTGAGGTGGGTGGGGCCGGGGATGGGCGGGGCTAGGAGAAGGGGCGGGGCGTTAAGCCTCCAGCGCGTGGGGCGCGGCTGCTCCCGCCTGTAATTCCGGCACTTTGGGAGGCCGAGGCGGGAGGATCGCGTCAGCCCGTGTCCCAGACCAGCCTGGGCGACACAGACCCCGTCTCTACAAACAAACAGAAAAAGTAGCCGCGCGTGGTGGCACGTGCCTATAGTCCCGGCTGCTCGGGAGGCCGAGGTGGGAGGATCGCTTGAACCGGGGAGGGAGGTCGAGGCTGCAGTGAGCTGTGATTGTGCCTCAAAAGAAGAAAAGAAAAGAAGAGAAAGAAAAAGGAATCTGGCGGGGTCATAGGGCGGCTGCTCAAGGCGGACCGCAGATCTGGACGGGCGGGGCTCGGGGCGGAGTCGGGCTTTCGCGGGGTGGGCGGGGCGAAAAGAAGAGAAAGAAGTGCTGGAATCTGGCAAAACAGGCGGCTGCTCAAGGCGGACCGCAGATCTGGACGGGCGGGGCTCGGGGCGGAGTCGGGCTTTCGCGGGGTGGCGAAGAGGTGGAGCCAGGACTGTGGTGGGTGGGGCGCCCGGGGCGGGCGGGTCGCTGCGGCCTGGGGCGGAGTCGGGCTTTCGCGGGGTGGGCGGGGCGAAGGGTGGAGCCAGGGGACTGGGTGGGTGGGTGGGCGCCCGGGGGCGGACGGGGCTCGGGGCGGAGTCGGGCTTTCGCGGGGTGGGCGGGGCGTGGGGGTCCCGCAGCTCCGATCCTTAACCCGGGCAGCATCGTGGTGGCTGTGCCCGCCGCGGGCTTCCTGGTGCCGCTGTCCATCCTGCTGCTGACCCAGGCCGTGTCCGTGAGCTCGGCCGACAGCACCTACAAGGTCAAGGTACGCGGGGCCGTGGGGAGTCAGCTGGCACCTCCGGGACCTCCGCGCTTCCCGCGCTTTCTCCACTGCCCTTGGCCTGGTAGCCCGACCCTCACCCCCGATGGCGCCTCGTTAGGTCCCTCTAGACCCAGCTCTTAAGAGGCTCCAGTGGATTCTTTGAGCGATGGGAATTGAGGTGAGTAAGGCTACGTTCCACACTTTGTTGATGAGGAACCTGAAATGGGAGTAACACCCACCAGAGGCCCACGAACACTCGGAGAGGGGGCCGGTCCTGAGCTGTGTGGCGCAGACTCAGGCACTGAGGGTTCGGGGAGGACCCCATGGTAGGGTAGGACGTGCAGCTTAGGGGTTCGGGAGAGACAGAAGACAGAGCGGAGGGCATTGCAGGTGAGGGGCACACCTTTGCAAAAACTCAGGGAAGCCTGAAGTCTGTGGAATGTTGGTAGGATGGAGAGGAAACAATTCTAATTGGGGCAGAAGGTGGTGTGGGCAACCGAGTCAACTGCTTCCTTTGGCCCCATTAAAAAGGTCCAGGCTGGGCCCCGTGGCTCATGTCTGTAATCCCAGCGCTTTGGGAGGCTGAGGCAGGAGGATCACTTGAGCCCAGGAGTTTGAAAAACCAGCCTGGGCAACATAACGAAACTTCATCTCTACAAAAAATTTTAAAATTATCCAGGCGTGATGGCACATGCCTATAGTCCCAGCTACTCCAGAGGCTGAGGTGGGAGGATGGCTTGAGCCCAGGAGATGGAGGCTGCAGTCAGCAAGCTGTGATTGCACCGCTGCACTCCAGCCTGGGCAATAGAGCAAGACCCTGTCTTAAAAAAAAATGCCCAGGCTGGGTGCGGTGGCTCATGCCTGTAATTCCAACACTTTGGGAGGCCGAGGTGGGCAGATGACCTGAGGTTGGGAGTTCGAGACCAGCCTGGCCAACATGGGGAAACCCTGTCTCTACTAAAAATACAAACATTAGCCAGGTGTGGTGGGGCACGCCTGTAGTCCCAGCTACTCGGGAGGCTGAGGCACAAGAATCGCTTGAACGAGGGAAGCAGAAGTTGCAGTGAGCCAAGATTGTGCTATTGCACTCCAGCCTGCGTGACAGATCGAGACTTCTCAAAAAAAACAAAAACAAACAAACAAAACCCCCCCAGAAAGTCAGGTGAATTTAGGCTTGATGCTGAAATCATGGTACAAGAGCCAGGGTAGGATTTCTTAAAAGCCAAGTTTATTGGACGGGTGCGTGGCTCATACCTGCAATCCCAGTACTTTGGGAGGCCGAGGTGGGTGGATCACTTGAGGCCAGGCCAGGAGTTCGAGACCAGCCTGGCCAACATGGCGAAACCGTCTCTACGAAAAAATGCAAAAATTAGGCGGGCCTGGTGGCGTGTGCCTGTAATCCCACCTACTTGGAGGCTGAGACAGAGAATCTCTTGAACCCGGGAGGCAGAAGTTGCAGTGAGCTGAGATTATGCCACTGCACTCCAGCCTGGGAGACAGAACCAGACTCTGTCTCAAAACAAACAAACAAACAAATGAACAAAAACCAAACCAAAACAAAAAGTATTTTATTGAACAATAATCTACCTATGTAATACCCTTTTCTAGTGTACAGCTATGAGTTCTGACAAATGGATACAGTTCTGCAGCCACCACCATAATCAATATTTAGGACAGGTCCATCACCCCAGAAAATCAGAGATCACCACCGTAATCAATATTTAGGACAGGACCATCCCCCCAGAAAATCAGAGATCACCACCGTAATCGATATTTAGGACAGGTCCATCCCCCCAGAAAATCAGAGATCACCACCGTCCCCAGAAAATCAGAGATCACCACTGTGAATCGATATTTAGACAGGTCCATCCCCCAGAAAGCCAGAGATCACCACCTAGACCACATATTTAGGACAGGTCCATCCCCAGAAAATCAGAGATCACCACCGTAATCAATATTTAGGACAGGTCCATCCCCCCAGAAAATCAGAGATCATGGTCTTTTGTAGTCGATTTCCCCCTACCTGCAGCTCTTGGCAACCACTGATCTGTCTTCTGTCCTTATCATTTTTCTTTTTCCAGAATAAATGGAATTGTTGGCTTGTGAGTCTGGCTTCTTTCACTTAGCACATACATTTGAGATTCATTCACGTTGTTGCTCATATCAGTCGTTTATTCCTTTTGATTGCTGTACGGTATTGCATTGTGTGGATGTTCAATAGATTATCCATTTACCAACTGAAGATGTTTGTGTTATTTCTAGTTTGGGAGATTATAATAAATAAAGCTGCTATAAACACTGGTGTACAGGCATGTGAACGTAAGTTTTCATTTCTTTGGGGTAAATACTTAAAGGAGTCATATGGTAATTGAATGTGGTTTTTTTGTTCGTTTGAGATGGAGTGTCACTCTGTCACCCAGGATGGAGTGCAGTGGCTCGATCTTGGCTCACTGCAACCTCCACCTCCCAGATTCAAGCGATCCTCCCACCTCAGCCTCCCAAGTAGCTAAGACTACAGGTGCCCACCACCACGCCTGGCTAATTTTTGTATTTTTAGTAGAGATGGGGTTTCACCATGTTGGCCAGGCTGGTCTGGAACTCCTGACCTCAGGTGATCTGCCTGCCTTGGCCTCCTGAAGTGCTGGGATTACAGGCGTGAGCCACTGTGTCCAGCCTGAATGTTTAACTTTGTAATAAATTGCCAAATTGTCTTCCAAAATAGCAGTACTATTTTGCATTCCTACCTGTAGTAGATAAGAATTCCAGTTGCTTTGCATCCTTACCAAGGTGTGATGTTGTCAGTTGTTTTTGTTTTTTGTTTTAGCAGGTCTAAGATGTGGCATCTCAGTGTGGCTTCAGTTTGCATTTTTCCAAAGACTAATGGTTAAGCATCTTTTCATGTTCTTTGCCATCTGTGTAACTGTGGTGAAGTGTCTGTTCCAATCTTTTGTCCATTTAAAACATTGTATTGTTTCCTTATTATTTGTTACACAAAAATCTGCTAGGATTTTCATTGGAATTTCATTGAGTCTATAGATCAGTCTGGGGAGAACTGACATTCTAACAAGATTGAGTGTTTGAATTCATGAACATGCCACACCTCTCCATTTATTTATGTCTTCTTTGATGTCTTTCATCCTTATTTTGTGGTTTTCAGCATATAGATTTTGTATCCATTTTGTTAGATTTATATGCAAGTATTTCATGTTTTTGTGCTATTGTAAGCATGTTTTTTAAAATTTCAATTTCTATTTGTTCATTATTATAAGGAAATACAATGGATTTTTGTGAATTGGTGTTGAATCCTGCCATTTTGCCAGACTCGTTTATTAATTCCAACAGCTTTCTTGTTGATTCTACTTAGGAAATCATGTCATCTGTGAAAAAGGACTGTCTCACTTCTTCTTTTCCAATCTGTATGGCTTTATTTTTTTCTCTTCTTATTGCACCGTCCTGGACCTCTAGCACAATGTCAAGCAGGAGTGGTGAGGGTGGACGGCCTTGCCATGAGACTCCTTCGGCAGGACACTGGCTGTTCCAGGAAAACTGACGGGCAGCACTGATGCGGGAGGAGCTGCAGGTGTCCGACAGCTGGAAGGACAGAGGCGCCCGCTCTGCCCACACCTCCCATCCCAGTCACCCTGCAATCACTCCACCACACCCATGTTTGGCTCCCCCACCTGTGACTCCCCAGCTCCGCCCTTCCTCATCGCCCGCTCTGGTCTGCACGTGGTCCCTCCCCAGCATCAGTGCATCGTTTCAGCCTCTCCTGGGCAGCCTTCGCCCTTCTCACATCCTGCGGTTCTTCCTGCCCTCCCTCCTCTGGCCAGAATGCTGCCCTCCAGATCCAGGCTCTCCAACCTCCAGGGACCTTAACGTGGCCTGCGATTCACCAGGCGGGGCTCCTTCCTGCGGCCCGCAGCACCCACCTCAGGCCTTTTTCACATGCCCCAAATCTCATTACCTTCCTCCTCCATCCCCGGGTTGCAACTCCACCTGTGGTTGATAGCAAGGTCTCTGGATCCAGTTCGTACATGTTCACATCACAACTCCACAGCATACCAGCAGGGAGATCCTGGGAATATTACTTGTCATCTAGGCATCCACTTTCCCCATCTGTAAAATGGGCAGCATGGGTGAGTTCAAGACACAGAGTAGCAGCTGGTACAAGTGACTGCTCCAGATGTCGCTACTATTAATACCATTCAATTTCTTTCTCTCTTTCTCTTTCTTTCTCTTTCTTCTTTCTTTCTTTCTTTCTTTCTTTCTTTCTTTCTTTCTTTCTTTCTCTCTCTCTCTCTCTCTCTTTCTTTCTTTCTTTCTTTTTCTTTCCTTCTTTTCTTTCTTTTCTTCTTTCTTTTTCTTTTTTTGACAGAGCATCTCTCTGTCACTCAGGCTGGAGTGCAGTGGCATGATCTTGGCCTCCTGGGTTTAAGCAATTCTCCTGCCTCGGCCTCCCGAGTAGCTGGAGTTACACCATGGCCGGCCTCTCAAAGTGCTGGGATTACAGGCATGAGCCATGAGCCACCACGCCTGGCTAATTTTTTGTATTTTTAGTAGAGATGGGGTTTCACCACGTTGGCCAGGCTGGTCTTGAACTCCTGATCTCAGGTGATCCACCCGCCTCGGCCTCCCTAAGTGCTGGGATTACAGGCATGAGCCACTGCTCCTGGCACCATTCATTTTCATCACCATTTACACATGCTCCTGTTTCTCTCATCTTAAAAGCAAAGCAAAACCCTCACTTAACATCACCAGCCTCCACTCCCCCTGCTCCACTCTGATCTCCAGCAGCCCAGTCTCCTAACAGAGCTGGCAGTGCTCACGTGCTCCACTCTCTTCCGTCCCGGGCGGCTTCACGGGCCGCTGTCCTCACTGTCACACTGACGCTGCTCTCAACTGGCGGCCAAAGCCGGTGGTCAGGCCTCAGAAGCCTCTCTCCAGACCGCATACAGCAGCTTCTGAAACTGCACGGGAAGCGGCCTGTCCCCGGCCCGCAGGGCTCAGCCTCTGGCCTTCTGGGCGGCGCCTGGGTGCTGCCCTCGCTACCCTGAGGGCTGAGGCTGGTCAAGTTTGTGTCGTGTGCAGTTCCCAGCACAGTGCCTGGAACTTTCCTTTTTTTTTTTTTCTTTACGACAAGGGCAGTAGTGAGCAGCGAGGAAAGAGTAGAACAAGGAATTGGATCTGTAACTTACTGAAAAGGCGAGATAAACCACTGCTTTCAGACCAGCCCCTGGAACTTTTTTTTTTTCCTTCTTTTTTTGAGACTGACTCTCACACTGTTGTCCCGGCTGGAGTGCAATGGCGCCATCTCGGCTCACTGCAGCCTCCGCCTCCTGGGTTCAAGCAATTCTCCTGCCTCAGCCTCCCAAGCAGCTGAAACTACAGGCGTGCACCACCACACCCTACTAAAAATTTTTGTATTTTTAGTAGAGACGGGATTTCACTATGTTGGCCAGGCTGGTCTTGAACTTGTGACCTCAAATGATCCAAAGTGCTGGGATTACAGGCATGAGCCACCACTCCCAGCCCCTGAAACATTTTTAAGGCCCCAAACTATTTCTGAAACAGTGAGCGAACCAACCACCAAAAGAATCCATAACACTTTGGGAGAGACGCAAAGACAGAGAGAGAAGCCGGAAGCCCTGATCCCTGGCGGGGAATGGGGAGAGGGGAGTTGGGTGGGAGATGGAGCGAGAAGCAGCCCACTCTGGCTTTGGTCCTGTGGAGTGTCAGGCAGTTTTAGACACAGAATCGGAGCAGGAGCCCCAGGTCTGGAGACAGTGAGGGGGGCTGAGTGCTTCAGAGCTGTTGGTTTCTTCCTTTTTTATTTTTTGAGACAGAGTCTCACTCTGTCGCCCAGGCTGGAGTGCAGTGGTGTGATCTTGGCTCACTGCAACCTCCACCTTCTAGGTTCAAGCAATTATCATGCCTCAGCCTCCCAAGTAGTTGGGATTTCAGGCACCTGCCACTATGCCCGATTAAGTTTTGCATTTTTAGTAGACAGGGTTTTGCCATGTTGGCCAGGCTGGTCTCGAACTCCTGGCCTCAAGTGATCCACCTGCCTCGGTCTCCCAAAGTGCTGGGATTACAGGTGTGAGCCACTGCGCCCAGCCAAGAGCTGTTGGTTTCATTCATATCTGAAAGCATATTTTGTGGGAGAGGCAGGTACAAATGTATTGGTCAGTCTTCGCTGGGCGCGGTGGCTCACGGTTGTAATCCCAGCACTTTGGGAGGCTGAGGCAGGTGGGTCACGAGGTCAGGAGTTCGAGACCAGCCTGGCCAGCAACAGTGAAACCCCATCTCTACTAAAAATACAAAAATTAGCCGGGCGTGGTGGTGGGCGCCTGTAATCCCAGTTACTTGGGAGGCTGAGGCAGGAAAATCGCTTGAACCCGGGAGGTGGAGGTTGCAGTGAGCCAAGATCACGCCACTGCACTCCAGCCTGGGCGACAGAGTGAGACTCTGTCTCAAAAAAAAAAAAAAAAAAGTATTGGTCAGTCTTATTAATTTATTAAAGATCATTCCTTTAAGCATTTTTCTATGCCTCATATACAATCAACTTTTTTCTATGCCTCATATACAATCAACATTTTCTATGCCTTATATAAAGCTAATCAAAATTTATTTCCCTAATGTCGGGTACAGTGACTCACACCTGTAATCCCAGCCCTTTGAAAGGCTGAGGTGGGAAGATCTCTTGAGGCCAGGAGTTCAAGACCAGCCTGGGCAACATAGCCAGACCCCATTCCTACAAAAAAATTAAAAATTGGCTAGGTGTAGTCGTGCATGCCTGTAGTCTCAGCTACTTGGGAGACAGAGGTGGAGGATCCCTTGAGCCCAGGAGTTTGAGTTTGCAAGGACCTATGATCCCTCCACTCCAGCCTGGGCAACAGAGCCAGACTGTCTCACTGAGGCAGGCGGATCACCTGAGGTCAGGAGTTTGAGAGCAACCTGGCCAACATGGTGAAACCCCGTCTCTACTAAAAATACTAAAATTAGCCGGGTGTGGTGGCAGGTGTCTGTAATCCCAGCTACTTGTGAGACTGAGGAAGGAGAATCACTTGAACCTGGAAGGCAGAGCTTGCAGTGAGCCGAGATCGCACCATTGCCCTCCAGTCTGGGCAACAGGAGCAAAACTGCGTCTCAAAACAGACAAACAAAAACAAAACAAAGTAAAACAAAAAAAGGCCAGGCGCGGTGGCTCACGCCTGTAATCCCAGCACTTTGGGAGGCCGAGGCGGACGGATCACGAGATTGGGAGATCGAGACCATCCTGGCTAACACGGTGAAACACCGTCTCTACTAAAAACATAAAAATTAGCCAGGCATGGTGGCGGCGCCTGTAGTCCCAGCTACTGGGGAGGCTGAGGCAGGAGAATGGTGTGAGCCCAGGAGGCGGAGCTTGCAGTGAGCCGAGATTGCATCACTGCAGTCCAGCCTAGACGACAGGGTGAGACTCCGTCTCAAAAAAAAAAAAAAAAATATATATATATATATATATATATAAATTTTAAAATTCTGTCAATATATTTTTAGTTTTCCTAGAGACAGGGTCCCACTCTGTCATTCAGGCTGGAGTGCAGTGGCATAATCACAGCTCACTGCAACCTCGAATTCCTAGGCTCGAGGGGTCCTCTCATCCCAGCTCCCAGTGCACCTGTGACTAGAGGTGCACATGCCACAGCCACCTAACTGTTTTTATTTTTTTAGAGATGAAAGCCTCACTATGTTGCTCAGGTCGGTCTTGAACTCCTGGGCTCAAGAGATCTTCCCTTCTCCACCTCCCAAAACGCTGGGATTACAGGTGGGAATTACCATGCCTGGCCAAAATTCCATAAATTTAATCAAAATCTTCTAAATGACTAATACAATACCAGTTTTTTTTTTTTTTTTTTTTTTTTTAGCTGGAGTGTCGCTCTGCCTCCCAGGCTGGAGTGCAGTGGCAAGATCTTGGCTCACTGCAAACTCCACCTCCCGGGTTCAAGCGATTCTCCTGCCTCAGCCTTCCCAGTAGCTGGGATTACAGGCGCCGCCACCACGCCCGGCTAATTTTTTGTATTTTTAGTAGAGATGGGGTTTCACCGTGTTAGCCAGGATGGTCTCCAACTCCTGACCTCAAGTGATCCATCTGCCTCGGTCTCCCAAAGTGCAGGGATTACAGGCGTGAGCCATCTCACCCAGCCAATACGCTGCTTTTACATGCTTTAAATACCTTAAAGTCGGCAGAATCTCAGCTAGTGCGAGGATGCGTGTTGCCCTGTGGTGACAGTGAGTGGCGACAGTGAGCTGTTGTGGAACCGTCCAGAGTTTTCCCCCCTGGAGTGAGTGCCAGCTGCCCTCGCGTGGAGTCCTGGTTCCTTTGGTGGAGGACAGTGTTGAAAATCTCAGCCTGCGGCAGGGACGGGGGGCATGGGACACGGGGGAGTTGGTGGTGGGCAGAGACGCTGCTGGGCCAGTGTCAGTGACAAAACGTGACAGCGAAGGCTTTTGAAGTCAGGTGAGGCCCAGCCTGCCCTGGGGAGGAGGGGGAGTTCGGGAGGGGGTGAGGCTGATGGGTAGAGTGAGTGGGTGAAGGGGAGAGAGGAGGGAGAAAACCTGGTCAAGGTCAAGAGTGCCCAAGGGAGGACTCAGCCTTTACCGCACTGTGTGTTCAAGGCTTTTAGCCCAGATTTTCCTGGGCCATGTGATCACGGTTAGGGAAATATGACTGGGCCTCACTCAACTGACCTTCCAGACAGTGACGTTCAGTATCTGGAAGGAGGTAGCAGGAGGATGCGTGTGGCCAGTGGAGACCAAGAGGAGGAGGATGGGGCAGTGGTCGGGGGATGCTCTCATTTTCCCGGCCTCCAGCTTGCTGCTGCCCTGGACTGAGCTCTGGCTAGCTGACCAGCTCAGGGAGGGCCACTGGGCGATGGCCCAGCCATTCCTGCTGGTTCTGAGCTCCTCTTCCGGTCTCCATCCCTCCAGTGCAGACACCTTCACGGATACAACCCCTTCGACCAGGGCTGTGCCAGCAACTGGTATTTAGCAATTTGTGCACCACTGGGACCCAAGTGAGTTGGCAAAACCAGAGGCCCAACTGGTGAGCCCTGGGGGTGGGGCAGAGGTGGGTTCCCCCGGCTCCTTCCCACAGCTCCCGGGCGCTTACACTCACAGTGCCTGCTCCTCTGGGGTTTCCTCCGGGGCGCTGGGGGCTCTGGGGCCTCCCTACTTCCTTGGCTCTGTGGGTTCTTGCCCCGTTATGGCGTAGAGGGGTGCTGCGTCTTGGACGAGGCTGGCCTCAGCTTCCTGCAGAGCCAAGCCCTGGGCTGCGTGCTTCCTAAGCTGAGGCGGGCAGGGGAGCCAGACCAGGGAGGGCAGTGGCCCCTGCATCTGGCCTGTTGCTCCCCAGGTACATGGCTGAAGCTGTCCAGCTGCAGAGAGTGGTGGGGCCTGACTGGACATCCGTGCCCAACCTGCACCCTCCAATGTCCCCCTCTGCTCTCAACCCCCCGGCCCGCCCTGGCCCCCAGCCCCAACCTCTGGGTACCTACAAACCAGGGAAGGGTCCCCGTGGGTGTGGTGAAGCTGCAGCTCCCCAGGAGGTAAGAAGTGTGTGTGCGTGTGTGTGTCTGTGTGTGTCGGCAGAGGGGTGTCTGCAGGTTGTGAGGGTGTGGGGGGAGGCCCCTGAGGTTGGGCTGACCCTGAAACTGGAGCGCTCCGAGCTTGGGGGAGGAGGGTCCTACCCTGGAGGGGCGTTGAAAGGAGGACCCAGGCCTCTAGAATATACCCAGGGGTCCCTGGAGTCACAAAGACAAATGAACGATGACTACGCCACTAATGTGCTGATTGGCCTTGGGCCAGCCACTCTTAGGACTGAGATGAGTCTCGTGGTTTATAATTTGGCCAAGGGGTGGGGGTGGTGGGAGATTCTTTTATTTAAAGGAAATGACTTGAAGCCCCATGAGACACGGAGGTGGGAGGTGGAGGATCAGGAGGCCGCTGTGGAGGATCAGGTTGCCACAGGCTGGGCAACCCCTGTGCCCCGGGGCCTCTGCAGCACATTCTGTTGTGCCAGCCCACTCCCTTTGCCTCCCGGGGCAGGAGACCTGGCACGAGCTGTGGGGCGGGGTCTTGGTGAGGGCGCTCATGCCCCTGTTCTGTGTTTAGCTCCACACCAGCCCAGTGCCCCCCCTGCTGCCGCAGGAGCCCCCAGGCGAGGTTCAGCCTTCCTCTTGCCCCGTGCACCCGCGGAGATGCCCACAACACCAGCACCTGAGCTCCACCTCCTGAATCCGCCTCCTGAACCCACCTCCTTACCTCCCACTTCCTGAGCCCTGAGTGGAAGCCTTTCTGGGCCCTGCCCTTTGCCCGCTCCCCTGGTGGGAGTGCCAAGACCCTCAATGCCCATTAAATACCCTTGCCTGCCGCTTACAGCTGTCACGCTGCGCGTGTCTGTCCTGGGTGAGGGTTTGGAGAGGCTCTAACAGGCCGGGATGGAGGAGCCAGGATCTGCGGAGTTCAGGACCCGACACCACCTGGCTCTGTGACCTTAGACAAGACACCTGACATTTCTCTCCTCCTTACAATTGGGCAACAACAGGCCGGGTGCGGTGGCTCACTCTTGTAATCCCAGCACTTTGGGAGGCCGAGGCCACCTGAGGTCAGGAGTTCGAGACCAGCCTGGCCAACATAGTGAAACCCCATCTCTAGTAAAAAACATAAAAATTAGCCAGGAGCGGTGGTGGGCACCTGTAGTCTCAGCTACTCGGGAGGCTGAGGCAGGAGAATCGCTTGAACCCGGGAGATGGAGGTTGCAGTGAGCTGAGATCACGCCATTGCACTCCAGTCTGGGTGACAGAGTGAGACTCTGTCTCAAAAAAAAGAAAAGAAAAGAAAAGAAAAAAGGCAACAATAATTGCAGCAGCTGACTGACCCAGCTCCCCGCCACGGCTGGAGGTGATGGGAGAGAAAACCACCACGTCAGGGTGTCCGAGGCTGGGAAGACCTGGCCTCTGCCCAGTCACACCTTTGTCTGGCTGCAGGGGGCACCCACAGCCCAGGGATTCACCAGACTGGCCCGGTTCAGCCCTGCCTCACTGGAGCCTCCGGGGCGGGGTTGGGGCTGGCCCTGTGGCTTCTGGGGCCCTGAGGCTGGGAGCAGCCCCCTCCCGGCTGCGGCGTCCTGGGGAAGTGGAGGGGTGGGGGCGTTCTCCACCACAGCCCGGCCTTCATCTTTCCTGCAGCTGTGTCTCACCCTCGTCCCTCTTTCCTGGTGGGAAGTTAGGAGCTGGTTCTGGTCCTGTCCCTGGGGTTGTCCCAGGCCCCACACGTCTTCAGGCCCTTGGGGTGGGGGGCTGGGGGCACATCTAACTGTGGCTCTGCTAGCGGCCAGAATGTGACCGTGGGACTGGGAATAATGTCGCCTTTCTGGAAGGTTGTCAGAGGCTAGAATGAGGTGTTTTGTGCAAAACATCAGGAACACAGGTACACGGTAGGCACGCAATGGGTGCAGCCAGTATCATCATGATAATTTCCTCCACCACACAGCTGACACTCCACCCAGAGCTTCTCCAAGGACCACCTTCGAGACTGACCCGGGCCCCTTTCTTCAGGGAAGTCCCTTCTGCCAGGCTCCTCCCCCTTCTGCCAGGTTCCACTGGCTCAGCCTCTCCAGGCTCCCCTGGCTCGGTCTCTCCAGGCTCCCATGGCTCAGCCTCTCCAGGCTCCACTGGCTCGGCCTCTCCAGGCTCCTGTGGCCCGGCCTCTCCAGGCCCCGCTGGCTCGGCCTCTCTAGACTCCCGTGGCTTGGCCTCTCCAGGCTCCTGTGGCCCGGCCTCTCCAGGCCCCTCTGGCTCGGCCTCTCTAGGCTCCCGTGGCCCGGCCTCTCCAGGCTCCACTGGCTCAGCCTCTCCAGGCTCCCGTGGCTCAGCCTCTCCAGGCTCCCGTGGCCCGGCCTCTCCAGGCCCCTCTGGCTGGGCCTCTCTAGGCTCCCGTGGCTTGGCCTCTCCAGGCACCCATGGCTCAGCCTCTCCAGGCTCCCGTGGCTCAGTCTCTCCAGGCTCCCGTGGCTCGGCTTCTCTGTGTCGGAGGAGGGTAGGAATTTTTATCAAGTGTCCCAGTGATTCTGCCACACTGTTTGCTTCCTGCCACCTTTGTATCCGGGTGAAGCCAGGGTGTGGAGGAAGGTGGGAACAGAAGGATGTCCCCCAAGGGTTCAGATGAGCACCCCCAGGCCCCGTGGAGGCGTGTGTGTCTGTGGGCGCATTCTCAGGGGATGCTGGACCAGCCCCTGTCCTCTCGGCCGCTGGCGATGCAGGACGTCCCTCCAGATCTCCAGCCCACTGGGTCCTGCCACAACCAGCCCTGGAGGCTTCAGGCCCTTCCCTGTAGGCCCAGCCTCACCCACCTGCCTGGCCTGGGCCACAGAGGAGGGGGTCCAGGAGCCTGGGCCAAGGCTGGATGTGAATTATGGAACTGGGTGGTTGAAGAAGTGGTGCCTGCCTGGAGTCCCAGCCCACAGGGGCAAAGAAGGCCAGGCCCAGTATCTGGGGAGGCCCTGCCCTTCCTCTGCCGCCCTGTCCCTTGGTTCAGGATGGCACCTACTGGTCCTCGCCTCCAGGTATGCAGGGACTTTTTTTTTCAGGCCTAAGCCAGCTGTGAGTCATCTCCCCTCACACGCTGGGCCTCAGTTTCCTCACTGGGCAGACATAATTTTCCTCAAAGTGTCAGAGGAGACCATGACCCCTCTGAGGGCAATGGCCTCCTGCTCCAAATGCAGGTCCTAGGTCCCTCCCAGCCTGGGATTTCTGTTTTTTTTTTTTTTTTTTGAAATGGAGTCTTACTCTGTTGCCCAGGCTGGAGTGCAGTGGTGCAGTCTCAGCTCACTGCAACCTCCTCCTCCTGGATTCAATCGATTCTCGTGCCTCAGCCTCCTGAGTAGCTGGAATTACAGGTGTGCACCACCATGTCCAGCTAATTTTTGTATTTTTAGTAGAGACAGAGTTTCACCATGTTAGCTAGGCTGGTCTCGATCTCCAGGACTCAAGAGATCAGCCCACCTCAGCTTCCCTAAGGGCTAGGAATACAGGCATGAGCCACTGCGCCCAGCCCCAGCCCAAGATTTCTAAGGTTGCTTCAGGAAAGTCGCTTGGATCAGGCCCGTTTGCTCCTGGAGGGTTAAGTGAGGCTTCGACTGTCCCTTCCTTTGGCTCCGCACCACTCCACAGTCTCCCCTAAGCCAGGGCCCCCTCGGGGATTCTTTGCCTTTGGGAGGCCTCGGTTGAGCTGCACCCACTTTTCCTTTCTGCCCCTTCCTTGCTTCTGCGGAATGTACTCTTGGTTCTCAGATGCACCCCGCCCAGTCCTTGACCCACTGATAAGGGGAGGGGTGTTATCAGAGCCCAGTTACGGGGCCCACTGTCCACATGCCCAGGAAGCCATCTCTGCCTTCTGTGGGCTGCAGCCGAGGAGCGACCCCCAGGCCTGCAAAGCTGCCAGGCACCTGCCTGTCTGGGGCTCCTCTGAGAGGTCCCCAGCTGGCCCCTAGGACCTGAAGAAAGGGGTTAGGCCCTGGGATGGGGTGCCCAGAGCAGCGCCCCCATCTCCACACCTTTCCTCCATGCGCCTTCTGGGGGGCTCACAGGCTTCGTGGGCACGTGGGGTGGAGCTCAGCCCCGTCATTCCTCTCTATGCCCAGCTAGTGTGTTGTGGAGAAGTCACCATCCTGTGTGCAGCCTCAGCTTCCTCGTCTGTAGGGCGGACAGTCACAGCCGCCTCCCAGGGGTCACAGGATCCCAACTCTCTAGGGGAGGAAGGGGCCTGGGCTGCCTTATCCAGCTGCCCCCAGCCCCCAGTTTCACAAACAGGGACTCTGGGGCCCAGACAGGGAAGTGGTTGCGTGGGATCGCACTGTGCAGCCAGTCTGGTGGCTCTCTGGTGCCTAGGCCTCTGCCCCTATCCCTGGTCCTGGGCCATTCCAGAGGAGACAGGCTTGGCCGGCAACTGCAGGGCCCTGCTCTCCAGAGCCTGTGCCTCAGAGCTGGGCTGGGCTGGGCATTTCAGCACAAGCCCAGGGAACTGATAAGAAGGTTTAACTCTGTCTCCAGCCCTGTGCTGCCGGCGATAATGACCCCCTCCCCCTGCCTCCCGCTCAGCCCTGCCCTGCTCTGCCCTGACCCTTGGGTGGGGACCCTGAAGGTGGCTGAGGGTGGAGCAGGGCAGGGACAGATGGGGGAAGGGGAGATCATCGCACTGCGGGATCCAGGGCCCAGAATCCTAGTACCTCACCGGACATAGGCACCTTGCTGGCCCTCACGGGCAGCTGGGCACAGTGCCTGGCACCCATGCTCCATCTGGGTCCGAATCCCTTCGCTTTAGTTCTTAGCATGCGGAAGAATGGCTGGAGGGAAGCAGCCCGAGGGCTGAAGGCCAGAACTCCTGTGCTAACAAACCCTCAATGGAATGCTGCCCGGGCCAGGGCCTGTGCTCGGTGGTTCAGGCCACCTCCTTTAATCCTCACAACTGCTCTGTGAAGTTGTCACTCTAGGTTTTGAGGTGAGGAAACCAGCGCAGAGCAAACACACCACTCTCCCAAGGTCACATCACTTCCCAAGGTTATGTTGCCCTCAAGGTCACATCGCTTCCCAAGGTCCCGTTGCTCCCAAGGTCATGTTGCTTCCAAGAGGCAGGAGGGCAACTCCTATGACCCGTAACCACCACGATGTATGTCTGCGGGCGGTTTCCACATTTTATTTCAATGTAGGGTCATAGTTAAGACGAGGGCTCTGAAGGTGGGCTGCCTGGTTTCAACCTCTGTAACGTAAGATTAATATCTAGAAAACACACACACACACACACACGTCATGTCTCATCCTGTGGTTATGACATGGATTACACAGTGCATGGAAAGAGCTTGGCACAAACCCCTACACACAGCAGGTGCTTCGCGGAGGGAGCAGTGACCATCATAGCACGATAAAGGACGCAGGAGGCAGGCCAGGCCTTGGGATGCCAGTTCCCGTGACTACAGCCGCCAGCTCCTGCCCGGCTCGGTGTGGGTTCCCCTGTGGCCCTGACAACAGAGGTGAAGGGTGCTGCTTCGGACACGAGGTCTTTGCTACTGTTTTACAGAAAATCCACCAACACTGGTGTCTCCAGGCCAAAGGGGGTGGGGGCGTGGGCTGAGGTTCTTTGAGGGAATGGGAAGAAGATCACCCAACAACAGCTCTGCCTCCTGTTGAGAAAGCAACTGCTGCTTCTGCTTTGTGGCCAGGCGGTGTTTCAGGCTGAAGGAAGTCAGAAGCAATGGTGGTTCCGCGCTCTGTTCCAGGGAGGCTGCTCACAGACTCCGCCCTCCCTGCTCCTCCCTGACCTCCCCCGCGGCAGCGTCCCAGGCTCTGCCTCTCCACGTGGGCCTCTGCCTCACCTCTTCTCACC